CTTCAACATGGCTCTCGACACTACCACTAACTAATAAAGTTGCAGTTAATAATTTATTAATTTTGGTGGTAAGATATTTATATTTTTCCATATAGTGATTTGATACTTTGTAGACATGTGTGATGATGATTGATGTTATGTCATAATTTTTAATTTACTTTACTTTACTGAAGACTTTACTGAAGGAGGTGGTCCGCAGATTGCGTGATGGCCGTGAAGATGCCTACTTCTAAACCTATCAATAGGTTCAATAGGTAGGGACCTCAACTATGTTCTGAACAGGCAGGAGTTCCAAGGAAGACCAACACCCAGGATGAAGCCCGTCTTGATAAGTAAGTAAGTAAGTAAAGATTATGACATAACATCATCACAAGTGTCTGTGCGCTGTGTTTTGCTGTCGAGATGTGTAGTGAAGTTGGTAGACTTGGGGCTCACAGACGTAACCTCCTACACCACCTGAAGGTTGACCTCTGGAAGCGTTTCATCTTGCTGGAGTCGTATGATGATATTCTTCATTTGAGAGAACTTGCTAGTGACCGTGGTTATTCGAGTAAATTGTTCAATTTTATACTTGAGTACAAGTCAATTTGACTTTTGGGACATATAATCTTACAAAGGATCACGTTTCGGTTCTAAATTATTTTAGGATTGTTGACATTTGTAAGATTGACATTTTTGATAATAATCACAAGTGTCTACAAAATATCATTGCACTAAATAGAAAAATAATTTAAATAAATATTAAATTATGTTCAAGAAAAAACAAAAATTTCAAGAAAACAACAAATTTTTATTTAAATCAATTATAGCAACAATTTGAAAAACTTTTAAAGTTATTCTATTACCAAGGAATATACTACGGGTATGGTGACTGTACTTGGGCTATTGAGTTGTTAAGTAGATTAAGATTAGTAAACATGCACTTGCATTGTATTTATAAAAACTAGAAATTAGGCTTCACGGTAAAATGGAGAAGCAGGCTGATCTTGAGAAAGCAGACCGTAAAGTTTACGCAGTTTATGTTGCAGCTGTCAGACTGTATGCACCCTTTAAAAGAACATTCTTTGACATCAGGGCAACATGTAGGGATTAACGTATATATGCATCATTGGGATTAATTTGTATGTAATAGACAAAAGACCATCAAATGCAATATAAGCTATGGCCAATTACAAGCTAATTGGATTCAAGTTTGGGGGAAGACTGAAGAACAGGCCCGGTATATCAAAAAATACTCGATATATTGACTATCGAAATACGGTTTAGTTCGACTCTGTAATATTATTCCATTATTACGGTAAATTTACAGTGCATGTGTACCAAAGAGGTAACCTTTTATTTGACACACGTTGAATTTCTCAAAACATCTATGCAAATTCAACTTCCACTAATTATCAAAGATGGAGTTATTGCGCGCTGGTATGGGGATCTGAGTCACAATCTTGTGTTTTAGATGACCAGGCCAAATGCATTTCACTTTCAGTATTTTGTTCATTGTTAAGGACTAGCCCAGAGCGCGCTACTTCGTGGCACTTGCCTACTTCGAAGAAATTTAGACGAGTAACATCCATCAATCAGTATTACACAAATTCACCTAACCATGTGCTTTCGCGCCACTGCGGCACCCCGGCGAACGCCGCGGGCTTCATATTGCTGCGCGTGTTAAAACAAATTTTCGGCATAAATTTGTCAGGAGATCGACTGTAATTCCGTTTACGAACCTTTTAAAGATATTTGACAGTGCCGATTCTATCCCTTAAAGGATTTTCAATAGTGCCGAGGAAAAATAAAACATCAAATTCATTCATCTGAATATTAGTAAAGGTTATAATGATATCAAATCAAGATTTCAAACGCGTACAATCATTAACTCTAATCAAGTATTGTCAACTGTGATTAAAGATCATAGCAAAGTATGCTATCCTATATGTAAGCTACAATGAGGAAGAAACAGCATTATACAGCAGTATTACAATAATAAATATATGGATAATACCAAAATGTAACTATTACTGCTAATAAATACAGTTTAAAGATAAACTTATCAAATTTAAAATTGACACGAAACTAATACGCGGTTTATATTAGAATGCAACACAAACACTAAACACATCAAATAGAAACAAAAAAAGATATCTCGCACTGTCAGTCATTACATATTACAATTATATAAATAACACCGAAGAACTCATATATCAACAGCTCGAGTAGCGCACACTACTATTCCAATTTGAGTGTCTGACAGTGGCAGGGGAAGCGTCCAAGGTTCGATGCCACGACCGTGATCTTATATAATATAGATTATTTATTCTTTAGTGTAGATTAACTTTATTTTTATATATTTTACCAAGTGTGAAGGATCAACCATACGTTATTGATATTTTTGAAATATTTAACGATAAATTGATATAATAATAAATGATTGTAATATTTTTATTGAGGCACATGCCACCCCATCGCGGGTTTACTACTACATCTTTTAAACATTTTGTGAAAGTCGTCTTTGTTTAAGAAGGTCCACTTCCAGTAGCCCATTTTCTCCCCATATAACATTTCTTCATCCTCAGTGCTCAGCAAGACCTGTTTTATTTTCCATTACAGTAATTCCATGTTCCAATGAAATCTAACTCTTCAATTTTAATATCAGCGGTCGGATCCTGAAATATGGAAGTGAAACTCAGTAAATTTTTACAGTCAAGTAATACTATAACTTCTATTCGTAAAATTTTACAAGATTTGTTTCCAGTTTCGGACAAATTCACAATATTACTACATAACAACTTAGTAATGTAAGCAGTAAGGGCCCTCTCCAAATTTTAATCTGTAGAAGTGCACGTGCAAATAACGCGCGGCTTCAATGCAAAAATACGTGTGTGCTCTTGGCGCGCGCTAAAACTCTGCGCTGAAAATATTGGTTTGGTACGTACCACAACGAGAGTTTTAAAATTCCCGCCAATTTCAAACTCCAGAAAAAGAATCCGAAATTTTGGGACAGCCTAAAACATATTCTGATTAATGCTTTTCGACTTTATTTGTCCGTAAACTGACAACTAGAGCAAATCTATTTTCTCTACGAACTGGGCCCGAGTTACTTGTTTTAAAATACAGCAAATCCATCTTCTCTACGAACTGAGCCCGAGTTACTTGTTTTAAAATACAGCAAATCCATCTTCTCTACGAACTGGGCCCGAGTTACTTGTTTTAAAATACAGCAAATCCATCTTCTCTACATACTGGGCCCGAGCTACTTGTTTTAAAATACAGCAAATCCATCTTCACTACGAACTGGGCCCGAGTTACTTGTTTTAAAATACAGCAAATCCATCTTCTCTACGAACTGGGTCCGAGTTACTTGTTTTAAAATACAGCAAATCCATCTTCTCTACGAACTGGGCCCGAGTTACTTGTTTTAAAATACAGCAAATCCATCTTCTCTACGAACTGGGCCCGAGTTACTTGTTTTAAAATACAGCAAATCCATCTTCTCTACGAACTGGGCCCGAGTTACTTGTTTTAAAATACAGCAAATCCATCTTCTCTACGAACTGGGCCCGAGTTACTTGTTTTAAAATACAGCAAATCCATCTTCTCTACGAACTGGGCCCGAGTTACTTGTTTTAAAATACAGCAAATCCATCTTCTCTACGAACTGGGCCCGAGTTACTTGTTTTAAAATACAGCAAATCCATCTTCTCTACGAACTGGGCCCGAGTTACTTGTTTTTAAATACAGCAAATCCATCTTCACTACGAACTGGGCCCGAGTTACTTGTTTTAAAATACAGCAAATCCATCTTCTCTACGAACTGGGTCCGAGTTACTTGTTTTAAAATACAGCAAATCCATCTTCTCTACGAACTGGGCCCGAGTTACTTGTTTTAAAATACAGCAAATCCATCTTCTCTACGAACTGGGCCCGAGTTACTTGTTTTAAAATACAGCAAATCCATCTTCTCTACGAACTGGGCCCGAGTTACTTGTTTTAAAATACAGCAAATCCATCTTCTCTACGAACTGGGCCCGAGTTACTTGTTTTAAAATACAGCAAATCCATCTTCTCTACGAACTGGGCCCGAGTTACTTGTTTTAAAATACAGCAAATCCATCTTCTCTACGAACTGGGCCCGAGTTACTTGTTTTAAAATACAGCAAATCCATCTTCTCTACGAACTGGGCCCGAGTTACTTGTTTTTAAATACAGCAAATCCATCTTCTCTACGAACTGGGCCCGAGTTACTTGTTTTAAAATACAGCAAATCCATCTTCTCTACGAACTGGGCCCGAGTTACTTGTTTTAAAATACAGCAAATCCATCTTCTCTACGAACTGGGCCCGAGTGACTTGTTTTAAAATACAGCAAATCCATCTTCTCTACGAACTGGGCCCGAGTTACTTGTTTTAAAATACAGCAAATCCATCTTCTCTACGAACTGGGCCCGAGTTACTTGTTTTAAAATACAGCAAATCCATCTTCTCTACGAACTGGGCCCGAGTTACTTGTTTTAAAATACAGCAAATCCATCTTCTCTACGAACTGGGCCCGAGTTACTTGTTTTAAAATACAGCAAATCCATCTTCTCTACGAACTGGGCCCGAGTTACTTGTTTTAAAATACAGCAAATCCATCTTCTCTACGAACTGGGCCCGAGTTACTTGTTTTAAAATACAGCAAATCCATCTTCTCTACGAACTGGGCCCGAGTTACTTGTTTTAAAATACAGCAAACCCATCTTCTCTACGAACTGGGCCCGAGTTACTTGTTTTAAAATACAGCAAATCCATCTTCTCTACGAACTGGGCCCGAGTTACTTGTTTTAAAATACAGCAAATCCATCTTCTCTACGAACTGGGCCCGAGTTACTTGTTTTAAAATACAGCAAATCCATCTTCTCTACGAACTGGGCCCGAGTTACTTGTTTTAAAATACAGCAAATCCATCTTCTCTACGAACTGGGCCCGAGTTACTTGTTTTAAAATACAGCAAATCCATCTTCTCTACGAACTGGGCCCGAGTTACTTGTTTTAAAATACAGCAAATCCATCTTCTATACAAACTGGGCCCGAGTTACTTGTTTTAAAATACAGCAAATCCATCTTCTCTACGAACTGGGCCCGAGTGACTTGTTTTAAAATACAGCAAATCCATCTTCTCTACGAACTGGGCCCGAGTTACTTGTTTTAAAATACAGCAAATCCATCTTCTCTACGAACTTGGCCCGAGTTACTTGTTTTAAAATACAGCAAATCCATCTTCTCTACGAACTGGGCCCGAGTTACTTGTTTTAAAATACAGCAAATCCATCTTCTCTACGAACTGGGCCCGAGTTACTTGTTTTAAAATACAGCAAATCCATCTTCTCTACGAACTGGGCCCGAGTTACTTGTTTTAAAATACAGCAAATCCATCTTCTCTACGAACTGGGCCCGAGTTACTTGTTTTAAAATACAGCAAATCCATCTTCTCTACGAACTGGGCCCGAGTTACTTGTTTTAAAATACAGCAAATCCATCTTCTCTACGAACTGGGCCCGAGTTACTTGTTTTAAAATACAGCAAATCCATCTTCTCTACGAACTGGGCCCGAGTTACTTGTTTTAAAATACAGCAAATCCATCTTCTCTACGAACTGGGCCCGAGTTACTTGTTTTAAAATACAGCACATCCATCTTCTCTACGAACTGGGCCCGAGTTACTTGTTTTAAAATACAGCAAATCCATCTTCTCTACGAACTGGGCCCGAGTTACTTGTTTTAAAATACGACAAAGTTAACTGCTGAATGTTCCCGGTCAAAAATTAATTATAGTTTATATTAAAATATTGTCTATTGTCTATGTTTTACTATAATGCTGGGAGCCTTGTTGTAAATAATAGGGTACATACCATTCCTTGAAAGTTGTTATTTCGGAGTGAGCAATCATTTTGTTGACTAGCGAATCTAAATTGAAATAGTCGAATATCACTCAATTTCAGTTGCAGGTCGACATCCTTAAAATTAGAGAGCAAATAATTTTATTTTGTACTCTACTTCAGTCAATATAAATAGAAATTACAGCAATTTGAAGTAACAGCATATCAAGCTATATCATACATAATTATGAAAGCCTCGCAGAGATCTCGATTAAATCTGTAAACGTACATTTAACGGTAAGATATATAGATAGCGCGCAATATAAGCGCACGCACAAAACCAATATGGCTGCCACACAAAGCTACAAACTGGAACAAGAAATGAAAATTGTGAATTCAACCAGCTTGGATACTATTATCCAACGCGACATTGGTTTGGGCGCATTATCGACACGTTTTAAATGCGCGGAATATTTTTGTGCGCGGCACTAGCATTTTAAATTTTCAAAATTCAAATCATAGCCAGAGTTATGGTTATTTTTCAAGACAAATTTTGAGGCAAATTTTACGTGTAAATTATTCATTTTTCATTCATGATCACTCATAATTTGAACAATTTACCTCGGATTGAATTGAACTCTTCAGTATTCGATGATTAAAACAATTGTTTCAAGAACAGAGTAGTTTTAAAGCTAAACATTCGCAATTTGTCTTAACAGGAGTCTTGGGAGAATTGTAAAAATGAAATTTAAACGTTTTAGCGGCGCATGAAGCCCGCGGCGTTCGCTGGGGTGTGCGGGCGCGCTTGTTTCACAAGTCAAGAAAAGTTATTTTTACCGCCGTGAGGCGGGCGCGCGCTACTGCAATGTGCAAGCGCAATGCCGGCTCTGGATAGAGCAAGCACACAAATATTAATTGCAGCAATAGAATCCACCCGTAATACTGGAACACATATTTATTATTCATTATTGTAGGTTTATTACATTCCAAAACGCGCGCTGAGTTGGACTCGCGTCGGATCGAATCATCGACGGTTTAATCATGCTAATTTTTTTTAAATATGTTACGGTTACCACTTGATTCACGATGTCAATCCTTCGCAGCTCGGTGAGGCACAGTGGTGCATCTTGCCGATCTACCGAAGTGTGGTTGCGAGAAGCATTATTTGATGCGCGCGCGACCCAGTAGTGCATGCGCTACAAGGTTACCACCCGTCAACGCTTTAATTGCGTGTAATGTAAAAATAAGAATTTTTATAAATTTTAATTGTGATTACTGATTATATTTTCATTTCTTTTGAAACTATTTACTGCAGGCCGCGCTCAGCCTGTCATTCCGCCAAATCTTTATTCGGCTATTATGTTAATGAACATAATAGCCTGGGGTCCTCAGGTAAGAAACTATCAACACGGAGCTCATACATTATAATTTTTAATTGACAATGCCAATATTTTCCAATTTGTGAATTTTGCTACAATCCGATTGCTGATTTCGTCAAAAACACACGAGCGTTGAATTGACACACGCTGCAACCACTTTTCATCGCGCCCGGCCGGCCGGAGTGCACTTATCGCGTGCACGAGAATTGTGCAACGTGTAGCAAGCGTTGAAAAATGATATTTTTCGACGTAGCGTGCGTCGCTTTCTTTTTGAAATATTAGCCAGAGGCAACACAGGGGACTGAAACCAGGTTTTCGATCAAACGCTACCATTTTATTATTTTTAGTCGAGTCAAACGTCGCCAATAGTTGCTCTCGTCTAATGCAAAATCGCTGCATTTTGCTTAATTGACGATGTCAATTCATGGCAGCTCGGCGCGACACAGTAGCGCATCTCGCCGATCTAGTCGCCGATCTGTCGCTGTGAGAAGCCTTATTGAGTGCGCGGCGCGGCACAGTAACGCATCGTGCTACAACATTTTGCAAGTCATTATGCATAATTGAATTACATATGTGGTAACGGTTGACCATTGTTAATGATCTGGCCCGGCGCGCGCTACTTCGTAGCTCGTGCCGTCGAGAAGAAAGCGGCGCGCGCTACTTCGAAGAAATTTAGACGAGTAACATCCGTCAAGTTAACGGGTGATACTCATAAAATATCTGTTCCATATATTGGACCGTTAATTGACAATGTCAATTCATGGCAGCTCGGCGCGGCACAGTAGCGCATCTCGCCGATCTAGCCAGTCGCTGTGAGAAGCCTCATTGAGTGCGCGGCGCGGCACAGTTACGCATCGCGCTACAAATTGGATGGATTCGTCCAGATAGGTCACTGCGGGTGATAATCTGAAGACAGCTATAACCCAAACGGGGTTGTTGACTGTATTTAATTATTTAATGGATTCGTCCAGATAGGTCACTGCGGGTGATAATCTGAAGACAGCTATAACTCAAACGGGGTTGTTGACTGTATTTTAATTATTTAATGGATCCGTCCAGATAGGTCACTGCGGGTGATAATCTGAAGACAGCTATAACTCAAACGGGGTTGTTGACTGTATTTTAATTATTTAATGGATTCGTCCAGATAGGTCACTGCGGGTGATAATCTGACGACAGCTGTAGCTCAGACGGGATCTTCGAGCGTATTTTTGTGTAATTTAATAGTGCAATCTTGAGAGAAATTGGGGCTATCATTGCTGGAAAAGGAAAACCGGGGAATGTTATTACTGTTCACACCTTTCTCTCTCTTTCGTGACAGAATACTTCTAACCGTGTTTACCTTTTCTAGCAATGACAAGCAAAGAAGGATAACCGATTGGACTGGGGAGGAGTGGAACATTGGCAGCACACTACCGTCCAATCGGTAAGTATTTATAATGTTTAGTTATTAGGTATTTATTTGGAATTGGTTTAATTTGGTGGTAAAGTTATTCTATTATGTAATAAAGTATTTTGTTTTACAGGTTTTGTACATACGACAAATACGGGTTTTATTGGTCTACTAAAGGTCATCTAACAGTGATAGCAGGAAGTCGGAAAACGTTCTACACAACGACCTGACAGTGGCACTTTGTTTGTGTGTTATTTAGACTACAATTTAGAGACTAATTTAGAGACTAATTTGAGAGACAGTTTTAGAGTTTTTTGAGTCGAACTATAACTATGAGTCTTCGTGAGATACCAGTTTTAGACGACAGCGCTGACTACAGCACATGGAAGAAGAAAGTGCTAATATGGCAGCTTGGCACCGCAGCATCAACGAAACAGCAAGCTAGTAAGCTGATTATGAACATGAAAGGTAGACCACAGGAGGTTTCTATAAACATGACATTAAAGGTGCTAGGAGCAGAAGATGGAGTTGATAAACTCATTGCCGAACTGGACAAACTGTATAAGAAGGACAGTACTCAGTCTTTATTTAAGGCAATAGATGATTTTGAGGGATACAGGAGAGGAGATGGAGAAGATATAGACAACTACATCTTGGAATTCCAGAGGAGGTATAAAATTCTCAAACAGCTCAGAAAGAACGAAGATCTTTACGATGACATGGTATTAGCGTATAGACTATTAAATCAGGCAAGCCTAAGTGATGAACAGGCGAGATTAGTTAGAGCAACTTGCACTAGTACATTATCCTATGACTTGATGCAAGAACAGTTAAAAAGGACGTTTGGAGATGGATTCACAAGGAATGAGAATCACTCTAGTTGTAGTCTACCTTTTAAAAGTACTCCTATGGAGGAAATGGTAAAGCAGGAACCTGTCTTTCTAGCTGAGGATTACAAATTGGGGTCTGACATTCACTGGACCAGAAATGGGGATCAAAGGAATTTCACGGGTCAACCAATGAGAGAAGAAAACAGATATAACCCTGATGCTCAGGATAGAGGACAGCAGAGATACAACTCTGAATATGCTCAGAAACGAGGACAAAAGCTTTATATGAGGCCGAGGGGGAGTAGTAGTCCCAAGGTATGTTGTTTTATATGCCACCAACCAGGTCATATGGTTGCTCAGTGTTCATTTAACACATTCCCCGGATCTGAGGATGCTGACCTTGGAAATACGGAATGATCGAGAGAGCTGGCAATACATTAAAACCTTTGTTCAGAGTAGATTTGGAAAAGTATCTTGATTGAGAAACAAGAAGGCAATCAAATGAATGTTTTGTGTCGTTAAATGTATGAGTCAAGAGCGTTGAGTCAAGCAAAAGTCAATGTTTCTATTTTAGGAATTGTGAGTTTATTCAGTTTTATGTTTTGTAATTTGTTATGTGTCGTGTTTTAAGTTTTTATCGCAATTTCCTGTCGGATTCTATGATACTAAATATAGAAAAGAGTCGAATGTTTATTATAAGATCAATTATGTCTGTTTATAAGAAATAAGAGTAATATTCAGTATGAATATCCAGTTCCATGATTCGTAGAATCGTGTTTTAGTCGTTTTTTACGAGTTAATTTCTGAGCAATGTCAGGAGTATATATTATTTCGTCTCGTCAGTTTTTATTTTAAGTTTGTATATTTCATTTTAATTTGCAAAAGAGTGTGGTCGCAGGTAAACATAATAATATATCTGCGTATATAATATGTTTGTAGCTAATTTAGGTAGCTAATCCACTTTGCTGAGTTGTTCTTTTAGTATTTATCTCGAATATTTACTCGTTTTATGGGGACGCTTTTAATTTTTGAGCTAGATATTATAACCTCTCGGTGAGTTTTTTGAGAACAAAGTAATTTCTGTATTGCTAGTAATTTTGAGCTCGTCTAGGTATAGAAAGTACTAATAGTGTTAGCATTTGAAAATGCGCGCTGGACGCGCGCGCGTGTGGCATTTATATTTTAGCGGGGTTTTTGAAGAAATTTTAATATGACTTGTTATGTTTTTCTCTGTAATAAGTTCTGAACAGTTTCGTCTCGATAGGTCACTCAAGGTGATAATCTGAAGACATCTGCTCCAACGGGGTTGTTGAGCGAAAATACAGGGACGATTTTAATATTCGGCAGTTTCGTCTTGATAGGTCACTGCGGGTGATAATCTAAAGACAGCTGCAGCTCCAACGGGGTTTGTTGAGCGTATTTGTGGGTACAAGTTTATTGTTTGGTAGATTTGTCCAGATAGGTCACTGCGGGTGATAATCTGAAGACAGCTGTAGCTCCAACAGGGTTGTTGAGCGTATTTGTGGGTACAAGTTTATTGTTTGATAGATTCGTCCAGATAGGTCACTGCGGGTGATAATCTGAAGACAGCTGTAGCTCCAACAGGGTTGTTGAGCGTATTTAATTATTTAATGGATTCGTCCAGATAGGTCACTGCGGGTGATAATCTGAAGACAGCTATAACCCAAACGGGGTTGTTGACTGTATTTAATTATTTAATGGATTCGTCCAGATAGGTCACTGCGGGTGATAATCTGAAGACAGCTATAACTCAAACGGGGTTGTTGACTGTATTTTAATTATTTAATGGATCCGTCCAGATAGGTCACTGCGGGTGATAATCTGAAGACAGCTATAACTCAAACGGGGTTGTTGACTGTATTTTAATTATTTAATGGATTCGTCCAGATAGGTCACTGCGGGTGATAATCTGACGACAGCTGTAGCTCAGACGGGATCTTCGAGCGTATTTTTGTGTAATTTAATAGTGCAATCTTGAGAGAAATTGGGGCTAGCATTGCTGGAAAAGGAAAACCGGGGAATGTTATTACTGTTCACACCTTTCTCTCTCTTTCGTGACAGAATACTTCTAACCGTGTTTACCTTTTCTAGCAATGACAAGCAAAGAAGGATAACCGATTGGACTGGGGAGGAGTGGAACATTGGCAGCACACTACCGTCCAATCGGTAAGTATTTATAATGTTTAGTTATTAGGTATTTATTTGGAATTGGTTTAATTTGGTGGTAAAGTTATTCTATTATGTAATAAAGTATTTTGTTTTACAGGTTTTGTACATACGACAAATACGGGTTTTATTGGTCTACTAAAGGTCATCTAACAACACAGGGGACTGAAACCAGGTTTTCGATCAAACGCTACCATTTTATTATTTTTAGTCGAGTCAAACGTCGCCAATAGTTGCTCTCGTCTAATGCAAAATCGCTGCATTTTGCTTAATTGACGATGTCAATTCATGGCAGCTCGGCGCGACACAGTAGCGCATCTTGCCGATCTAGTCGCCGATCTGTCGCTGTGAGAAGCCTTATTGAGTGCGCGGCGCGGCACAGTAACGCATCGTGCTACAACATTTTGCAAGTCATTATGCATAATTGAATTACATATGTGGTAACGGTTGACCATTGTTAATGATCTGGCCCGGCGCGCGCTACTTCGTAGCTCGTGCCGTCGAGAAGAAAGCGGCGCGCGCTACTTCGAAGAAATTTAGACGAGTAACATCCGTCAAGTTAACGGGTGATACTCATAAAATATCTGTTCCATATATTGGACCGTTAATTGACAATGTCAATTCATGGCAGCTCGGCGCGGCACAGTAGCGCATCTCGCCGATCTAGCCAGTCGCTGTGAGAAGCCTCATTGAGTGCGCGGCGCGACACAGTTACGCATCGCGCTACAAATTGGATCGTCGACGAGTCCAATTCGGCGCGCGTCCTGGTAGGTTGTAAACCTACAACATATATGGCGCACGTTATATCTCCGCCAAAAGCACATCCAATTTGATACGTATGAAATATGTTTATAACTTCCTTGGTTGTGCACTAAGTTGATCACTTTCGAGGCACCTCGACAAAAACTTCTCATGCTTGATGCTATTGTGCTTTTTATGGAGAAATACGTCAGTAGCGTTTAATTTTTGAGCTTTTTATTCTTCTTCAAAAGTATTCCAAATGATTTTTATAAGTGCATATATTGATCCTCAGAATACATTAAAAAATAATTTTCCTCGATTCATGAAGTTTGAAAGAATTTACAGCAATGCGCGCAATTTGGGGAGTGTGCTTTTGGCGGAGATATAACATATAAACTGCGCCTTACATATATTCGTATGCGAATCTTGGCTTACATAATGCAGCGATTTCATTGGACAAGAGCAACTGTTGGCGACGTTTGACTACAAATGGCAGTGTTTGATTTTAACGGGTGATACTCGTAAAATATCTGTTCCATACCGTCGACGAGTCCAACTCGGCGCGCGTCCTGGTAGGTTGTAAACATACAATGTTTGATTGAAAACCTGCATTGGTTTCAGCTCCCCCGGTGGCAAGGTTGTACGAAATAGTGAGCGCCGGGTTAATCAATTATTGATTACACATTAATATTTATATGTTTTTTGTTTGGTTGAATAATTTTCATTTAACTGATTGGGATCTGAGTGCTTTTGCGCCACTGCGGGCGCGCTTGTTTCACAAGTAAGAAAAAATTTACTGCCGGGAGGCGAGCGCGCACCACTGCAAGTTAAGCGCAAGGGCTCTGGATAGAGCAATATCTGACACATGTAATTTTATAATGATCTTTCTAATTTCTAATTTCTAATTTCTAATTTCTAATTTCTAATTTCTAATTTCTAATTTCTAATTTCTAATTTCTAATTTCTAATTAATTCTTTTAATTTTATCGGACACATCTGCTTTGGAATAAACTTCCTCTCGAAATAAGAGACCATAGCTGTCCTGATATCTTCAAGGCCAAACTTAAGGATTACCTATGGTTGGAAATGCTACCCACAGATCCAAACGATAGTCACGCTGAATTCTACCTGTCTGATAATGATTAGGTGCATCTCATTTCTCCCAATGCCAATTCTCTGATCTAAAATAACCGATCCAAACTATTTAAGGGGTTAGGGGTGGGTTGGGTTTTTAAAAGTACTGTATGATATAATCTATTTCATTAACAAGTTAACAAATTATTTAACGGGTGATACTCGTAAAATATCTGTTCGCGACGAGTCCAACTCGGCGCACGTCCTGGTAGGTTGTAAACCTACAACAAATTATTAACGTTATGATATTTAATGCACGCTGTATTTTATAATTGCACAATCATCTCTATTACAATATATCTTAAATTTATTTAATTGACGATGTCAATTCATGGCAGCTCGGCGCGGCACAGTAGCGCATCTCGCCGATCTAGCCAGGTCGCTGTGAGAAGCCTCTTTGAGTGCGCGGCGCGGCACAGTAACGCATCGCGCTACAATTGGCTTCGTCAATCGTCAACCCTTGCCAGCTTGCTACTGCTAGTCTATTTATATTGCTCGCTTCTTTCACTGCGAGAAGCTCGAAAAGAGAGCCGCACATTGGGATTGGTGTGCCAGGTAACTATACTGTGTACCAGGTAATATGCCCGTGCTATACCGGTACGGTGGTAAGTAAATCTATTTTAATTGTAAGTCTATTTTCATATTGTGTTTTGTGAGTTTCATTTTTAAGGGGCGTGATGGAACTGCCTTCTTCGATCTTCACTTTTCATAACTGATAACGCGTCGTAAGATAGAGGTCTCATTTTATGAAATATAATAACTATATAATTACAAGTATGGAGTACTAATACATAATAACAATTAAATCTAAAAATAAAAATGCCTTTTTCATTAATTTATAATCTGTGATCAAAACCAAATCAAAAAATTAGATCGATATAAATATAATACTCCTCATTGTCACACTTCATTTAAAAAACTAAAGACTTAAGACTTCACTGTACGTCTGTACTGATACTATGGGGAATCACTGAGGGTCACTTTAGTCTTTAAGCATTAAGAATATTAGGCTTCTATTCCTAAATATTCGATCATCAATATCGTTATCACCGGTGCTACGGACGACCCTATTTGCAAACTTCTTCAGAACTATAAGAAATCTTATTTACACTATTGACTATATTTTTGACAAATCGCTCTTCGTTAAAAAATTTAATTACAAAGACTTAAGACGAACAAATATTGAGACGGGAAACCCGATTGTTCATCAACTATCATATTCATCTTCGATATGTTCGATATCCTCTAAGTCTCTTTTAATGGCAGTCACTGCATAGTTGATAGAGAGATCAGAACTGGTGCCCCACTGACGAGTAAGAGGGTTAAAATTCAGTCCGACCACTTTCACCACGTCGAAACCACCTGCGATTAACCATCAGTTAGATCAACTACTTGTCACAATATTCAATATCAGTATTGTAAAAGTTAAAATGATTATATACAAACTTGAGAGTGAAGACTGTCAACAAATTTAAGTATGAAATTATCAGGTCATGTTCAATGTTTAACCATCTTCGACATTTCCTGCAGTCCCTAAATATGCTATGCAATATTATACCCATACAAAACAACCACAAATAGTTCAATTTAGAAAGAGCAGCGCTCAATCTGAGGAATTACAATCAGCAATAGCGCCGGTCAGGGTGTGAGGAGGGACCAGTTTGTGGTACTCATGAGTACCGGGTGGGACCAGTCCTGCTACATTCTCTGCTAACATGATTGCAAACAACCAACTCGCTACTGTTCTGTTTATCGTGGTGAACATTAAACCCCCGCCTGGCTAATGGGAAGTGTCGTAAGTATTGTTCATGAATATTCTGAAGTTATTAACAAGAAAAAGGGAAATACAGTCACAGATATTTAGATAGAAATGAGCCTAAACTTTAGCCTAAACTTTAACTAGAGCCTAAACTTGTTAATAAGTCTGTCTCCAAGTTTGGAAACTCACCCGGACGCGCCCAGCACATTGAGATACAAAGGTAGCCACACACGGCACATGTTCCACCACTTCTGACGACACCACCATATCAAACTGCTCCGTCACTTCCTCCACGGTGGCGGCCTGGTATCTCAGATCTAGATCGCCTGTACGGAGAGAGAACTGTTCAGACTTGTTACACAGACTTGTTACACAGACTTGTTACACAGACTAGTTACACAGACTATTTACACAGACTAGTCTAGTTACACAGACTAGTTACACAGACTAGTTACACAGACTAGTTAAACAGAATAGTTACACAGACTAGTTACACAGACTAGTTACACAGACTAGTTACACAGACTAGTTACACAGACTAGTTACACAGACTAGTTACACAGACTAGTTACACAGATCACTGGTACCCACTACCCAGGTAACGGGACAGGCACCTCGTGAGACGTAATTGTAATTAGCGGGCATGTTGGAAACTGTCTGTTTTAGGATGGAATTAGGATGCTCTAAGTTTATTCCTATTTTGTAGTAATTCTAAATTTCAAGTGAATTTAAGCGAAGTTAGAATGTAAATGTATCTGAAATATTGAGCTTGCCTGGAAACTTGTTTGCGTGATTAGAAGCAATCCGTATCATTTCCTCACTAGGATCTATTGCAGTTACATCAAACCCCTGTTTGGCCAACTCCTGATGTTATTTGTTATTCAGTTGATTTGGTGAAATCCAATCAACAGATGTAATTAGAGTTAGACTTCATACCAAGGTCGAAACTTGCAATTGTTTTTTCCGCATAAAAACACCGTCCGATTCTTCTAACTTCTAAAATTTTAGATGAGGTCCAAGCAACATACCGATGCTTAAACACAAGAAAATATTGTCAAAAACTTAATCAGGAAATAACCTCGGCTAAGTAGCCTCCACCGCACCCTACATCCAATATCTGCGGGTCAGGGAAGTCGATCTGACGAGCTAGAGACTTAAGGAGGGGTATCCGAACACTATTCATAAGGTATAGAGGATCTTTGTCATCTCTCCACCAGCTAGAAGACAGCGCATCGAACTTTAGCACCTCTTTCTCGTGTTCCCTGATAACAGAGGGTTAAACTGGGTGCCTGCCTGTCGCCATGATTCCAAGTCAAAAGTAAAATTCACCGTCTCGAGTTTCGGCAATAATTTGTTCGTGAAGATTCCACATACAATATGAAAGGGGAAGTCAGCCAGAATGACCCCAATATCTCCCCGCTAGATATTGAAACAGGTACAGCTACTCACGATCTGGATTGCACGGTCTCAGAGGAGAGGGTTCTGATACCGCCAGGTCCCACGAGGGTCATGCAGCGTCTACATAGAGCACCGACTAACGCCATCACTGTGAGAAATGTTTAACACTTTTCTCGGTCAAGTGCGAGGTAATATTCAATGCTCGCCATTATATTAGACTAATATTCAGGGAACTCTGAAGCTCAACAAAGTCGAAAATGTAAACACCACGAGTACGTACAGTTTATAAATATGTCGAAATATCAAATAGTAAAATAATGTCATACAAAATAGTATAAATAACATTACGTCAACACATACTGGCTTCCTTCCGTACTATACAGTGATAATAAATAAAATGGATACCCTAACAGTAACATATAATTCTTAATTCAAAGCCGTAGAAAAACCCGAAAACCCTCGAATATTCGACTAAGAAACCCTGAATACATTTGTATCAAAAAGAGTTAACATATTATATCATATAAGCATGTAACGAGGACGATGCCTTTTGAGACTTAGTCTATCTTTTCTGAGACTCAAGAAGTAAAATTGTAAGATTTCCTACTATTTTATTATAATTATCGCAGGGCGCGTGCCGTAACACTTAAAGACTTAACAAATCTCTACAATATGTAGCTTAAAATGCGCCCACTCAGTGGGCCCTACAATACAATTAATATTACATTAAAAAGGTATTAATCAACATCTTTAAGAACAAAATTCCTCACGTATTTAGACATTGGTGGAATGTCCGGATTTATTGGGTTGTCGGCCCCCGCTAGACAGTGGTCTGGGGATGGCCTGTTGGGATGGTCTGGTTCCTGCAGGACGACCGATTTGCCGCCCAGCACTTGATCCTGGCTGCTTTTTGTCTACTGCTGATGCTAAAGACCTTGATGCCAACCTCCCTGAACTCCCGGTTAGTCTGCCTGAACTACCAGTTGAACTGTTGCTCGCATTGCTTGCTGTACTAAAAAGAGCAATCATGTTAGAGCTCATAAAATTTGTGAAAGCTGATTTTTCATTCAGCGCGAAAGCTGATTTTTGCATAAAAATTTGTTCAACAGAAAATTTTAATTGTGAACATTAAAAACCTGAGTGAGGAAAGAGATTTTGCGGCAAGTTGAGATTTAAGAGGGCCCGTAGTTGACTGAGTTTTGACCGGGATAGCTCCCACATTAGAAGGAGGAGTAGGCTCACTTGGGGGCGGTGTCCCATTAGAGGGGGGCTCCCCATCATCGTTATACTCCCCCCTTGTCTCCTCGTTGAGTCTAGCAGCCTGTTCCACAAGGTGGGGGTTCTGGTCCATGAGTCTGGCGTAGTAATCGTTAGGATCTAGTCGGGATAGTAGGTAGGAAAGGTGGTGTTCTGAAGCTGTCTTGGATATTGTCTGGATCTGGAATAAAGTTTAACTGATCAGATATCATCGAGTTATTTGGTGTCAAATTGGGAGAGCATTAAATAGCATGACTGTACTTACTACAGCCTACAGGTGTCTTAATAAAACTTTTGTAAGACACATAACCTATTACCTATGCAATGGGCTATAAGACAAAGCAAATATAAGTACTTAAGTAGAAAATTGTCCTGGTATTAATTTTAAGAAGTAAACTCACATTAATGAGTAACTGAAGAGTTAGTAGGGTGAAGTTGGAGTCGAAGTTTTTAATGAGGTCCTCAAAATGATCCTGAGAATGCATTTTCATGTTTTGTTCAGCTTGTGTTGCTATGGATACAGTTGCTGACGGAATGAGCCGGAGCATGGCATTACTGAAGTTAACACAGATAGCTTGGAGTTTTGCCAGACTTCTCAGCAGCTCTGGCGTTGTTAGGAGACAATCCTTCAAACAAGTCTCCAGGAAGTCGTTGTGGATAGCCAATACGTTGTCTATCGTTTTAACTGTCTGTCAGGAGGAGTGTGTAAGTTTGTGGGCACATAACTCTAGGTTACATGTTGCTAAATATTTCGTTTGTAAAGATCAGCGATCGCTGGCGGTGGTTGCTTACAAGAATCTTAATGTTTACAATGACTACTCAACACGAACCTGCATTTCTTGCGTGAAAATATGCCACTGTCTCTCGATAACTTCAAACATGGCATAGTAGCTGTAGTTGCTGATAAAGGACAGCATTCTCTGTCGGAGACAGAATGCAGCAGCGTGCCACTTGGTGGTGTAGATGGGTTCCCACTTGGCCTGCTTGTGAGCCTGCCACACAGCACACAGTTGCCGCTCCACGTGTTTGCAATGAAACAGGTGCCGGAACAGCAGCTGGTATTTTGTGATGGATTTCCGGGATACTACCAGTGATACGGGCCACTCAACCTGAGCAGTTTGCTAGCGTCACAATTTGTCGGAACAATCGAAAGTAAAAATACTGATCAGTGTTTCTACAGTTAAAACAATAAATTTGAAACATCTGTTATCCTCACAGTATACTTTATAGTAATGACCTACCCTATAGTCCAGAGTAAACGCCTCAACTCCAGTCAGCCCAGAAGCATGAGGTTCGAAAGCTGGGTAGACTTGCTCAGTGGGACCCAGAGTGTGACCCCTGACATTTATTATCCTGAATAGTTGGGTGATCAGATCGTAGGGCACAATGTCTACTTTCAGATCTTCTTTGAAGGGGTCGTTGGCGGCAACACTAGTCCTCACGGCCAGGTCTAACAGTGATTCTATGCGAGAGGAGACGATATCGTCGTGTTTCTTTCGTAACTCGTGCTCTGCCATATCCATGAAGTGAACAAACACATCGCCTGAGATGTGACAGATTAAAAATAAGTGGACAATGTAAAAACACACACTCTCAGTAGTCATTAAGTTAACCAGGGTTGGGTTAGTTGAAGCCCTGTTCTACAACGTGAAAGGCGATAAATTGTCAGACAAAATAAGGGCTGAAGAGCATTGATTAAAACGCCACTATACCGCCACTATGACCCAGTTGACCCTACCAGTTTCTCCATTATTCAAATTAGAGTTTTAGTATTTCGCGTAACATTCAACTTGCTGGACTTTTAGACTTCTTCCAAAAGTTAGAATACGAATAGAAATAATTTCAGTCGTTCCTTCTTGTGCCAGATCACAAGGTTTGATTTATTTCTAGATTGTTTCTTTGAATACAGAGAACATGAATCGTGGACGTGATGCGATAATATGACTTAAATAAGCTTACTGGTTCATGACAGGTCATCAGTCGACTAATGACCTGACATGAACCAACTTATTTAAGATAAGATCATGGGAGGTGCCAACTCATGATCCAATACTAATGACCTGGCGGCTGGCATACTTGGCATGACTGGTGGCGACATAGTCACATAGTCACGTTGGTCGTTGCACCTGAGCCCCAAAATAACGGGAGGCCGACTTAGGGGACCCCCGATTATCAGTGCAGTGGTCAGATCATGTATCAAGGGAGTGAGACTTATACTGGAAGATTAAAGACAATAGTATCCCATTCTATCAACAAGAAGGTAGGCGCCTACCTTCTCCAAATGCATCTCTGATCAGACAGGATCTCAACAGCTACTTGACTCTGATGAATACATCTACTTTCGGAAGAAGGACAAGGATTCAGCCCTCACCTCTGCCTGGCGGTGCTGCAAGCACAAACTTCCCACGAAGTGTCCCTGTCTGACGTCTGTGCTATCTATCCCTCTCAGACAATTCTCTCAGATTGAGTACGAAACCCACAACCACGAAGCAGACCTCGCAGCCCCTGAATGAAGAGAAGTCCTAACATCCCTGAAAAGGAAAGCTGCAGATCAACCTCTTTCGGCGACGCAGAACCTAATTTCAGAAGCCCTGGTAGAGAATCATTCAGGATCCGGAGTTCACTCGAACCTCAAACATGATTGAGGGCTTTCAGAGAGGATTTAAATCCCTAGTGCATCGCCCAAAGTACTCTGTTCAAGAGTATGTGCAAGCTATTAAAGAGTAGTAGGTCATTACTGACTTTCATATCGACAGGTTGAGTGTTGGTAAGACACCCGCTAAGATGCGAAGGACTAACCATTCTCAACTTCATGATATCTGCTCATTTTACTCCACATACTCCAGCAAGATCGAGTATTTGTTTGCTGTAGCCTCAGTGTTTGGGTATGATATTTAGTAAACTCTTATTAATGTATACAGTAAACCGAGGGACCCCTAATAATTGTGGGTCCCCTAAGTCGTGCAGCCAAAATAACCATCACAAATACCCTCAGTCTCACCTTGCCCCATCAAGAAGAAGCTCTTTATACTGGACAACCTCTCCATAAGTTTATGTTCCTCCATCAGGAGGTTCAGAAGGCGCTGGGAAGCGAAGGCGTAGGCGGTTTCAATGCATTCCATATACTCCCGCTCCACAAGGGTGTACTTTATCTCCCTAGAATCGGGACACTGCACGTTGTATCCACAGTGTCTTATCACGTTTAGATACTTACCCGTGTGAAGTACCTTTTCAGCTATCTTTCCAAGAAACAAAGGCACCTAAAATTTTAATTAAATTATATTATCTTTTCAAGTATCTATGATTTAATGAATTTTAATCGTAATTTAATGTTGTCACAAGGGCTGATGAACGTGTTGTCCGACCTCCACTAAACTATCGTAACTTGTACAAAATAACCCCCATTTTAAGGGTCTATAAATGAGATAGGAGCGCTAGGTATATAGAAGTTCTACTCTACGCACCTAAGATAACAGTCAGTGTCACTGGCTGAGCGCTAACTACTCACCTGCTGAATATTGAGACTGTATCTCTTCTCCCAATAGGTGTCGTAAACCAGTTCATACTTTCTCTGTACTTGTTCAAGCTGGCAGCCTTCTCCAAACTCTTCCACAAAGAACTCGTTGTAAGGGTCGTCTATCATACCTTAGCCATGGTCTTCTGTTATTAATAGTGTTGAGTTGATACTCAAGATACAATGACAGGCTGTTACATATCTTTGAAAAATAATTCATTTAGAAGCCACAAACATGATATCTGCGCAGTTGTGGCTTAGAATGACACCGTTCTCACCTTTATAAAGCCACTTTTCCAGCATGCCGAAGTAAGGCACACACGCCGCCTGTGTCAGGTACAAACACAAGTCCTGGGATGCCGCCTCCCCCACCAGCGAAAAGGTCTTGTCGTGTAGCAGCGATAACGTTGTTCCACCTCGGCAACTTCCATTTATCACATCGTGGCATATCGTCGCCAGAACCTGAGAATTTGAGGAGTCGATTAGCACCAAGAGAAAAGTTTAGTACATATCTTGGAAGTTGGAACTAATGACTAAAGTCAAGAGGGGCCAAGTACTGGGATTAAACCGGTTGAGGTGCTAAGTATTCTGGGGTTTACTCTGAGATTATGATTTAGTAATCCATTGTTTACAAATTAAGTGCTCGATGGTGCCAGGTGCAGTACCGTAAAACCACACAGGGTTACAAGGGAAGGCAGCTGGCCCTCTTGTTCGCCAGCCATGTGAACTGATAGAATTCGAATTTAACATTATTCGTGGTTAAGTGAAACGTAGGAACATGAATTACGCCCGATAAAGGAGAGACCCCGGACGTCCCCAAATGGAATGGATAAGGAATAATTAATAATAAAGATTTTGGAAAAATCTTTATCATTATTTGGAAAAGTTTTCCAGTTTTGATTGTGACAAAATTCAGTCCATTATTAAAATGTTCTGTCCATCCTTGGTACAGGGTAACCCTTTAATAACTCACGTAATTCATATCAGAATCGCTTAAAATTTTCAGATAATATAGATATGGGTCATTCTGATACGAATTACGTGAGTTATTAAAGGGTTGCGTGTGGGTAGTTACTTCTGGGCCAGCCTGTATTTCAATGAGCTAGCTATCAAGGAATATTTTCTGGCATTTCCGATTTGCATTAGTTTTTCTCCGTTTCAATTCTCATCTTTTACTCGATTCGAATATTGACTCTTAGAGTTAAGATACTTAACGTCTTATTTCAAGACATGCTTAATGCTTATCGATAGTCAAATCGAATCTCGACATCAAGTACTTCGGCCTGGCCTGGCGGCTGGCCTTTAACTTCAATTCTGAGGAACAATTTTAAGTTCCTTCGCTGAGTTTGGACCTGTAACAGCCTGAATAGCGATAAGTATAATGTCTCGTGTTCAAAGCAATATGAATTCCTGGAGTCTAGCTAGAATCATGGACTTCTTGCGTGGGCTCTAAAAATAAATCAAATCTATGAAAGTATGAAGGATGGAGTTAATAAAGTTATGATAACATGATGCCAAAAACCAACCAATATGAATACAAATATTTGATCCAGACTACTCGGCTGAGATAAAAAAATTCCTAAATGACCTAACACGACATTATTAAGAAACTGTTTACACCATTAAAATATTCAAAACCCCTAAAAGAAATCAAGACATCCTAAAATGGTGATCAGTACAGATCAAAACAGTTAGAGTAAAAATTTGAATTTTAACAGGACATAAATCGTTAAACGGATAAAATGGAAAAACCTTGGAGTAAATTGACATTTTTAAATGTACTACCTTACAAGACATTTTTGTGGCGGACCAATTTGCGACGACCGAAATTTTGGCGGTCCGAAAATATGGCGAAATTGAACAAAAACCGTCACATTTCGGACGTCACAGAAAATAAGGGTATTTTTCATCATTTTGTTTTCTGACACAAAGCTAAAGGAAATTCAAACTTTTCTAAAAATCGGTAAAATCATGTTGAAACAAAATGAAACTTATAAATCGATTTCTTCATCTTCCTCTAAGGGGTCCGGCTCGACTCTTTCAGTTTCACTTATTGAGTTTGGTATTAAATTGTTTATCTTGACTTAGTCTCTTATAAGACGTTTATGTTAGCACATAAATGTAATTTATTGTAAATTTAAAACGTATTACTTGACATTAAATTCATCATGGAATATTGTGTTTATTTGTCCCACCATTATATCACTAACTTTTCAAGAACAAAATGAATCGATGAAGCCACAATTATTGGAATAAGCTAAAAATAATGCGACGGATTCTATTACGACGACCGAAATTTTGGCGGTCCGAAAATATGGCGAAATTTCGGGAAAACCGTCGCATTTCGTACGTTATAAAAATGTCTTGTAAGGTATATGTCATGGATTCTGGTTGTCGAATTACATATACTAGCAGGAACCCGTCTAACCCTAAATGGGTTAGACGGGTTAAAATTATTACCTATTTAATTCGCGTTTTTGACACCACTTGGGGATCCAAATTTTGGGCACTAAAATTCTTATTCCTTGGCCCCTATTTTTTATTTTTTCATGCTGATTTGAAGGCCATCAAAGCATTTGAACCAGTCAAAAAAAGTTAAAGTTGTATATCATTTACGGTTTATGCGGAAAGTCGTGTTAAAGTTGATGCCGTGGTGTCAACTGTCAGTAAAATGGTTCGGATAAACACATGTATATAATATCGTCTCGCTTTATGTATAATAAGATGTGACACCAAAATTGGACATCCTAACTGAACATGTTTCTTTACAAATACCAGGCTACTCAAAGCTCGTGCCAAGCAACTAGGGCCTCATACCAGGCTACGTATAGAGGCATGTTCCGGTAGACTTTGGCACGATGCTAAATTGAAGTAAAATTGTTAGTATCTAATCCGGTCATAATCTTACTATATATAAAGCGATACGATATATATATATGGATCCGTGCCATTTTACTGACACCACGGCATCAACTTTAACGCGACTTTCCGCAAAAACCGTAAAAGATATACAACTGAAATTTTTGTGACTGGGTCAAATGCTTTAATGGCCTTCACATCAGCATGAAAAAATAAAAAATTTGCCTAGGAATAAGAATTTTAGTGCCCAAAATTTGGACTCCCAAGTGGTGTCAAAAACGCGAATTAAACAGGTAATAATTATTTTAGTCTCTTGAATCTTGACACCGCTTTAGGGTTAGACGGGATCCTGCTAGTGGTAATTAACTTGGTGACAAAAAACATTTAGTACCGAACCTATATATTTGAAGAAAAATAGTTTTTTGAAATATTTCTACCAATTTTACAAAAGTCTAGTTATAATTTGTTCAAGCTGCAAAATTTTCTAAAGTCGAAATACCATTAACCAGAATTCACACTTAATTCCGGAGTCGTCCTTATAATTATTATCAGCAGAAACAGCTGTTAACCAGCTTATATTATATCATATTAGCCCCCGACTAACTTCATTAGACAGTAAACATGTAGAAATGTTTTTAGATTTGGGATTTACCAGATTACTGCCATCCTTTTCATTCGTCCATTGTAAATTAACTTTGCCGCAATAGCATGTAAGTGGTCCGCTTAGATGGGACAGTACTTGTGAAATAATTTAATTGGGCATGTCTTGTTATTTTGGTACGGGGGAGAGATAACCAATGAATGGTAAATTCACGTGAGGTTGAAAAGCTGAAGCTAACATACTGTCGCGTCGATATTGTGACGGTTATATATACGGGATATTTGGGAGACATTTACCGTTTAGTACTGTGTATTTGTTTGCAAACAACTACCTATACTTTTGTCAAACGAATTAAGCGATCATGATACGGTTATTATTCTCCTTATGTCTTTTATGCCAGGTGAGGGTGATTGCTCTTCGAATGGATTGCGGTTTATAAAAACGTATTTTCGACCAATCTGTATTTAATTGTAATTTAATTGTAAATAATAATTGTAACGATTCGATATTTGGAAACTGAAACTAACCGTCATTTATCCGATATTACAATAGGGGGTCGTTCATATGGTCAGAATCGTACGTGACGTTGGGTGGGTGGGTCATATTTTCTTCCAAAATGCAGTTAGTATTCTTGTACTAAGTGGTGGGTCTGCTGCTCATTTCCCAGAAAAACAGTTAGTACATGGTACTAAGGGGTTCATTTTTTGGGTGTACAACCCAAAAAAAAAACAATTTTACACATTTTACCTCAAATTTTGGGAATGGGTTTTGAGGTTTTTTGAGTTTTTTTTGGGTATTTTGTATTTTTTTAAATTTTGTAACTTTTTATTAGATTCGACTACATCGAAAACAAAACCCTTACTAAATAGTGGGTATAATTTGGGTATAATTTGCCCATTTCCAATGTTTAATGAGCTGTTTAAAGCAATTTATGGGTGGGTATCTTATTTTATATACCCAGACTCAGTTAGTACCGTTATTTCTCAACAGTTAGTACCGCAAAAGCCGGCAAAAGGGGGTGGGTGTCCTAAATATCATCCGAAAAAGCAGTTTGTACCGTGGAGGGGGTGGATGTGTCCTTTTGTAAAGTCCAAAACTGCACTTAGTCGACGTTACGTACGTCACTTAGTACCTGATCCCCCCCCCCCCCCCCGGGTCGTTCACATACTACGTAATCAGCTGAGCGGGGTTTCAAAATGAAAGCTAGTGTAATTTTGACACAATAGCTATGTGTAAAACTGATTACGGAGTGGGGAGGGGGCTAAAATTGGCCACAAAGTGATTACGTAATATATGAACGGTCCCTAGTTATTCCCGATAATTGCTTTTCTCAATTTCTCTTTGCATCATGTCAAATGTTTATCGTATAATTTAAGAATTAGATTGAAACCCACAGGTTTGGCAAAACGAAGGATCTACAGTTGATTTCACTTTATTGAAATACCACAATTTCACTGCATCCTGTCAAGATATTCCGGGCACTCCATGCAACTTCAAGCTGTCAATGACAATCATTGGAGCTAGCACTAGAAAGTGAGTAAGCTCTATTACATGATAGCAATACGGTAAGGCTTTCCATTTCCTCGTTATTAATAAGAATGCCTCGTGCCGGACGTTATTTTTAGTGGTTTGATGGTGGTGCATAAGTTTAGTTTACTCACTGTGCAAGGCTAACTAGGTTTAGTTCGCGGTGCATTGCTGAATGCCGTGTGAGAAGCTCAAAGTTACCGATTTGAAAAATTGAATGAGCTTCCTTAATGAATTTATCGAATAAGTTATTCAATAAAAGCATGGATGATGGATATCAATTATTAATACCGATTACCATATTGACTCTAATTTGGACTGACCGATTTATGGACGGCACCATTCATGGATTCTGGGTGCTCCAGTGTTACTGTTCGCAGGCTTATTAAACAGTTTAGAATCTAGATATTAACAGTCTTAGTCTAGATCTTAACAGTTCCGCCTAAAATAAAATCTTCACAGGACACACAAATTCGTCAGAAGTTCAAGTTTCCCAACAGATGTGAGCCACGATATAATATTTTCTAAAGGAGATGACGGATTGGGGAAGAGCTTAAGAAACCCCCAGATAGTACAGCTAACAAACGATACAGTGGTAAATAAAGCTGTTCATTTTATATCAAGTGTAGATATATGTGTAGGGACAAAATGGCTTTATCTTATCAGCGGAAACCGTTTATTTTGCGTTTATTCGATTTCTTAAAGAAGTGTGAATATATTAGGTAAAATCGGAAAGTTTTTGTGATCTAAAAATAAATAAGGATTGTTAAAAAATATGTATCAGGGGTTTTTGTTATCGTAATTTGATTAAGATAACAAAATACCAAAAACTAACTTCACAGGAAGACCTAAGAGTGCGAGTTAAGGTATTTGATACCGACTATTCGACTGAAATAGACAAGTTCATATCCAAGTTTGTTCTGGACCTCGGTCTAACCTCCGCGCAAAGTGGGGTGGAACACAATGATTCTCTTACTAGAGGCACTGGTCAACTCGACTTTGCTTACAAGGTCAGAAATGTTGTTACATCTTGATAATTTCTATCATAATAAAGTTCATCTGATATATGAAGTTCATCTGATATATAAAGTTCATCTGATATTAAGAATTTTATCATTATTCATTATTCATGGGCTCATGAGCTGTTCTGTGTTCAGTGTTTATTCAGATTTCAGTGTTTATATAATATTTATTTGTATATAATATTATAATTATAAGAAAAGTACAATCTCATGGTCAGACAACCCTTACCAAATGTCTCTGAAAATTGACGTCTTGCGTCTGCAGCGAAACATTTCCACGTTAAAAACTAATCTAATCATATACGGAGTCTTATCATTATCTGAAACCATGCCGGTGCAAAAAAACAGATTTAAATTCTAGCAATGAGAACTGTAATACATATAAATAAATAATAGTGTTTGTCAAGCCAAATCTCGTTTAAGTTAGACCCATGTACAAAAAGTTATGAACGTGTGAATGCATGGTGTAGTAAAAAAAAGTACTATGACGTCCAATCTGGCCTTAACTCGATTATATTTTAGACCATATAATTATATATACTTATAGCACATGCAGAAGAGACTGTTATATTATCATGTCCTTGTAATTATTTGAAGGATATTATTTTGTACTTGAATAATATTCTGTTTTACTTGACACCATCAAATACAGTTCACGTCCCTACAAGGCGGTCCTTTGAATCAGAATTGACGCCGGCATATCTTATCGAAATCGGATTAGATCAGTTTTAATTTTAAGTTATGTTAAATCCTGTTTTCCTTGTACCTATTTATTCAAGTTGCCTGACTTGCAGTCCATTTCTCAACTGGTCAAATTTTCTTCACCGCTTTAATTGTGTTAGAATTGAAAGTTCTATTTTCTGACAGGTCCGCATAGGTACCTGATATCGGCACATTAATTATACTTCTGCCTAATTCTCTCTAATCGGAAATAAATGAGGTGATAGTGGCATGTTATAGATCATGTGGATTCTGCTGGGGAGGCGAGGTATGTTTCTTGATACGTGACAGAAATTAACCAAACAGCTTCGACTATAGACCAATGACCATCCAAATTTCAAACTCTAGAATCACTGTCACGTGCCAAAATATGATGCCCCGCCTCCCCACCAGAATCCACATTTATATATCTCAAACTTGGTGATATTACATATATATACATATATAGAGTTTTAATACTTTCAACACTACTATATAACAAATAATTTGAGAATTGATGTAAATAAATGATGTAAAGACTTACAAGGATCTAATCACAACCGCTTTATTTTATTGTGTAGAAGTCCAGCCATGAAATATATATTTACAAAAGTAACAATTTAAAATCGTTATGCAGGATTCCAATCAAGGTCAAAGCATTTGATGTACTTAAAATTTGTTAATCAGAATTTCAAATTAAGGCTAAAGCATTTGATGTCAGGATTTAATGTCTATAGATCTATATAAATGCACATATCTCAAAGATCACGGCAGTCGATGGTCGGGTTTCAAGATAATTCACAACCGAGCTATTATGTTAAATATTGACGTTCGTGTTTCAAAATAATAAATATGTCGTGAGGCGCAATATTCAGTATCAAGATCAAGAGTCGGTCCTGGACAACCGTTGTGGTCTCCACTCATAAGTTCTGCCGACCACAAACCTTTCTAAAGGCGTACATCTCCTTGTACAGATGGTATAGAGAAATTACTTCCTTACGTCAAACTTTCCCCCGTTAAAAAGTATAACATCATGATAATATGCAGCATTACCACTATCTGTACAGAGTTCAGGCTTCGTGTAAGTATTATCACAGAGTTCAGGCTTCGTGTAAGTAACAAGTTCGTAGCCTGGCAGTCTGAACTGTAATATTTCACTGCACCAGACCAAATGTGGTTAAGACTCGTGTTTAAAGTTAGTCCCACATATCCAGACCATGTACGTTTAAAACACAACAGTTTCGTAAGGTTTCCGATCGGTGGTTAATTAACTCGATTATACTGTGTCGTAAAACCTGCAGAAATGACAGATATCGTGGATATATAATTGTGTCCCCATGATTATTCGGATGATGTTATTTTATACTTTAATAAGATTTCTTGTACTTGACACCACGTAATACACAACGAAAGCAGTCCCTTCAAAAATATTTGTGACGCCTGCAGCATTCTTATCTAATATCTTATCATATTAGATTTTCATCAGTTTATAGTTTATACTTTTAAATTTGTTTACAACTTCTGTCTTGTCTGCTAAATATACTGAAGATACTTAGCCTGCAGTGCAGTATCAGCATTCAGCCCATTTCCCAACCGCTCACGTTTGCTTCATCGCCTCATCATATATCAACAGTGTCAGGACAGAATTGAAACTTCTATTTACTATCAGTAGAGATGGTTCATACTTTTCCAATTTCCATAGCGACACATTTACTTCTGCTTAATTCTTATCGGACAGATTAGTGGTAGGGTCATGCTATACACCTCTAACTTGGTAATAATATATTAGCGTGACAAAGGGAAAATATACCACCGGTTTTTATCTAAAATGGAAGGCTAGGTACCGGTATATGCATTTAACGCCCTATTGATAATTGATAATTGATTTTCCATTGGTATATTATAATATATAAGTTCGAACAGTTAGCTTCAGGCATTTCTGACAATTAGTATGGAAGTAATCTTTGATGGAGAGCTAAACTGCTCACCTTGTTTCAGAAGTCTTTAGAATGATATTAACAACTACCTTTCTTATAATCACGGTCCTGGTTATACTTCTGATAGTGGTTGGTACAAATTAGATTCACAGTTTACTTTACCATTTTACATTCAATCCGATCGTTCTATTTGCACTGTGTGCGCTTAGATTTAATCAAGCTTTGAATTGCTGATATCTTGGCTGTTATCTTGTCTCCATATCCACTGTAAGGGCATCTTTCAGGACAAATGTGCGGAGGCAGCGGCGGTAGATGTGACTCTGAAAATGTACCACAATGATACCACAATCTGCTCAGCAGGAATATCGGGAGTTGGGTGTGATTTTAAGTTCACTATGGTTTTCGAAGGAGTTTCATCAAGCCTGTAAGCTACTTGCATCTATTTCAAAGAAGATTCAGTCCACAAAAATGTCAAACCATCTTTAAGCCGGAAAAAGTTTAGACTGTTTAGTTTTAAAATAATTTAAACCTTTTTTCTTGTAATCATCTTGTATTTAAGAAGCATTATAGCCATTATTAGGTTATAACACGTCACCACTTTGTCCATAGTACGTACAAAACGGTTGTAACGACGGATTTTACGGCTGACGCTAGCAACAACATAAACTTCAAAACAGGAAACGACGCCTTAAAGTCTGGAGTTTTTAATCCAATAACGATAAATCTTAATTCTGTGGTGAGTCAAAACGTCAGCAGAACAGTATGTGTCGATCAGTTTGAAATAGAATTCAACTTATCCGATGTTTTATGAACTCTAAAAGAAAATTGAATCACGGCTTAGGATTGGTTAACTTTAAGAGCACAGACGTCACGATAAACGGTTCAACTTGATCCTTTACAATTACAGGAGGATTTAAAAATGAAAGTTAATGTGGTTGATGCTGATTATTTATTTGATGATAAAATTTCTGACTTCACGATGAACCTTGACATAAAAGGAAAATCAAGCAATGTTGAACACCTTGTAAAACACACAACTGCTCAGGGATCAGGGCAATTCCAAATATCATACAAGGTAAAATTATAGAAACGAAAAAAATTGGCCTCATGTTATATTGAATTTTTGAATGGATCCATAGAAAATTAATACCGACTAGGAAGTTTATAGCGCAGACTCATTCATATGAACATGAGGAGGGTTGTCTGAACCCTTGAAAACATATCCCAAAACTTGACTGAACCAAGCGCCCTATTTTCAGGTTTATTGTGATGGTAACCATGGTGGCATTGGTTGTTGTGGGTGCATAAATAACTACTACAACACTAACTGCACCAAGTTCTGTCAGCCGATCAACAATTTTACTTGTGATAGTAACGGTGAGAGCACACATTTTTAATTCTCTCTAGGCAATCTACAACCTTTTTAATTTAGAATCTCATTCTAAAAACCAGGAATAATGTTCACGTTAAATACCATTAACCTCCCGCTTTATCCAGGTGACCACATTTGTAAGCCGAACTACTACAACACGAGTTGCAATGTCCACTGTGTTCCTACATCTCAATACAACTGCTCTCAAAACGGGACCAGGGACTGCTTGGGAAGATGGACCGGAGATAAATGTGATGTTCAAACTCCCTGCCCATCAGGTTGGCTTTAATGGAAATACTTTTAGTTCATAAATATAATTATCCTTTTCTAGTGGCTAGTTCGAATTTAAGCTTTGTTTTCATACGCAAAAGCATTGATCATTGATGACTAATCGTCAGAGATATGACTGATTTGCATCTCATCAACACCTTTGCGGCTAAAGGAATTTTTCATTGTGATGTAAATTTATTAAAATCCGACTTCTCAATACAAAATTTCAGGGAAGTTTGGTATGAACTGTTCCGTAAATTGCACGGCAGTTCCTAATCAATACACCTGCAACTCGACAACCGGAGAAAAAGTTTGTGAAACTCACTGGACAGGTTCAGAATGTGATTCCTGTTCACCAAACTATTACGGTGCTAACTGTGACACTTTCTGTCAAGCCAGTGCAGCTATGAACTGTAGTAATACTGGGGAGAAGGAATGTTTGGGACATTTTACAGGACAGAACTGTTCTCTTTGTGAGACAGGGTGGTATGGGAGTGGATGTGATCTTTATTGTGATCTCAACAGTACATTGTGGACTTGTGATGACCATGGAAGTCACATCTGCAACGGAAAGAGAACTGGTATGGCAATAAAATATTTATGGTCGACATTCAAACCTGATTGCATATTTCTAATAAAATAATACACAGCAACTGGCATTAAAATAAAGCATCAGGAAGGAATTTTCAAAGAATCTTCCGGTTCCCAAACCATATTGTAAATAAAGACTTTTGTTTTAATCGTGTCCATCATGAACCTTTGACCAGTTTTTATTTACAGGAGTTTATTGCACGGACTGTGTCCAAGATTGGTACGGTGCACAATGTTCAGTAAATTGCACAAAAGTTCCTGGCCAATACGATTGCAACTCAACAACCGGGAGAAAAGTTTGCGAAGGACACTGGACAGGTTCAGAATGTGAAACTTGTGCAGCTGACTATTTTGGCCCTAACTGTGACACTTTCTGTCAAGCCAGCTCAGCTTGGAACTGTAGTGATACTGGGGAGAAGGAATGTTTGGGACACTTTACAGGACAGAACTGTTCTCTTTGTGAGACAGGGTGGTATGGGAGTGGATGTGATCTTTATTGTGATCTCAACAGTACATTGTGGACTTGTGATGACCATGGAAACAAGATCTGCTCTGGAGAAAGAGCTGGTACGCTTTCCAATAATCGTTCCCAGCTGATTTCAATTTCTTCTTCACTTTTTCATACAGCAATGACGTACTAGCTTCATTGTTTAGATAGAATTAGATTTAAAATCATAATCCAAAGGTAGGCTTTAGTTAACTCCACGACCTCCATTCCCCAGGAACAGACTGTACGGATTGTAAGCAAGGTTGGTTTGGACAAGATTGTTCAGTAGAGTGTACAGACACAGAGAAATACAAATGTACAGACCAGGGCGACAAAACTTGTACTTCTAACTGGAACGGTCCTAACTGTGATAGGTAAAAACAACCTCACCTTTCTCTGAAGATTCCTGAATTTCTATATACTAGGTATCGTTCAGACATTTCAAATTTATCTTAGTTTTAATTTGACTATCTGACTGAATCCAAAATACATTTCCACCGCAGATGTAAGGAAATGTATTTCGGACCGAACTGCACGTGCAAAAGAGAGCCAGGAAGAGCGGAGTGTGACAACGAGGGGGTGTTACATTGTCTGGGACACTGGACTGGTCAGCTCTGTGATATCTGCATTCCCGGATACTCTGGACCTCTGTGCTTGATACAGAATGAGGCGAGCGCTCTGGATTCTTTGCCAAGTTCGTACCTTATTTCAGTTACTTTAACTTTGTTTTAATACATAACACGTGCACATGTTGGATATCGATATATTCTGACATTTCCTGATTTTAATTCTGTTATTCTATTATTTTTTCTAATATTAGTTTGGTAATTATGATAATTTTCTAATCTTAGCTGGGTTATCTCTGGCAACGCAACAAGATCGTTTATATAGCGCGTACACTTACAATGCTTCGGACAGGCACTACTTAAGTTACCTTGTCGTTGTGATAGAACCATTATTGAGAAATACATGGAATTAAATTATACCGATATAATCTAATATTCAATTCAAGTTCAACAGATAAAACCATCAGACGGGTACCGCCAAGCAAAGTTAAATGTCACATTATCTTAATTTTGAAATTATGTGGATAATATACCTCACACGGAATTTTACCAGGGTTCAGCAAGTCGCTGCTCATATTCTGCATAATGACGGGGGTGGTATTTAGTCTTGCAGCCGGCATTGCTCTATATGGAGTTTTCAATGATAAGAGGATACGCAGACGATCATCCCTGAAGATCAAACCAGCACTGGAGCCTAGCGTACACTGGAGCCTAGCGTACAAGAATCCTCATTATGTTGAAACACCCTCACCCACAACAGAAACTAAGATCCGTATTGAATTTATTGAGGACATGTAATGACTGATGTGTTTTTTGATTTAAATTTTGGATCGTTCGCATATTAGGTAAGCCATTATTTGGCCATTTAGACCTACACCCCACCCTCTGTTAGCCACTTTACACAAAGTGTGTGGAAACTACAGTAAGCTTTTCCATACCTCCTCCCCCTAAGCTGGCTTACGTAATTTGTGGACAATCTGATTTGAGTTCGTTTATTTCGATGAAATGTATGATATTTTTGATACTTCAATATTACTACAAAAACAAAAATTAAGTAATGGTGGCGTCAGAATGTTTTAATGACAGTTTTTAGGGTGGCAACACCTGTTCACCATGACCAACTGTGTTTTCCCTGCTTTGAATGTGTATGTTTTCTGTAAATTTTTGTATAAATTTGAGCGATTTTAAGAAAACTATGTTTCCTTTTTCAACAATCCGATAGTATTAAAATAATTCGTCCAATAGTAAGTCGCATTCTTTCTGCGTAAGTTTGTCATGCCTCTATTTCCAGGAATTAAAAATATCGATATTCTCTCTCTTTCTCGGTTACGGTCAACGGACTTTGGCCTCCTGCGGTAAGCGGGAAGCCTTCTCGCCGTGCCCACAGAGTGCAACTCCTGCTAGCTAGACGCCAGGACTCCCAAAGTATATACATAATCATAAACAAATAAATATCTACGCAACAGACCCCTGGAGTCTTGAAGCTGCCACTACCTGGCTCTGAGCAAACCCACTTCCGTTGTAGTACTTCTGCGGGCAGACAAGGGACTACGGAGACGGGCCTAGCTGGATCTAGAATGGGTTTTAGTGTGGTCCCTGATGTGAAATTCTAGGAGGTTACCCAAAAATATCGTCCCTTTCTAGTCTTTTTGACTGTTCCGCATATTTGATGATGTGGTTGAGTTTACTGTTGATAAGTTCCTCCATTGTAAGAAGGGGTTTACCAAATATCCTCATTTTGAGTGTCATCAGCTGGATGCATTCGCAGAAGAAGTGCTGGGAAGTTTCTGCTTCCCCTGGGCAGTGTTCGCAGTCTTGCGTCTCGAAGTTGACGTTATTCGACACATTCTGAATATCGATATTCACCGATAACATCTGTCCGTTGGGAACAGGAGTTAGGAGTATAGTTTTTCATTTGATTATCGAGGATAAGATTAGGCAGAGGGCTTATTGCCCAAGTTATGTTCATTTGGCATGGGAAAATGCCATATGACCAGAATATGTCCCTAATATTGATAATATATAATTGGAGATTAGATAAAAGGTTTGGCAAATGAGAAAATTTAGGGATCTGAGCAATTTCTGTTAAATCAGGAATAAATACAGCAATTTCACATATCTCTGATCTAAAAGGCTCAGGTTATTGCATTGTTTCAGAGGTCCAGAAATATTTGAAATGGTTTGTTGTAAATAATTCATGAATATCAATGAAATAGAATATGTTGTGACCACATCTCATTGTCAAAATATTTTTGTTTCCTGCAGTCTGACGAACGAGTTGCTGAAAAACTTTATCGAATATTTATTACAGGGCACTTAAAGTATTGTCTATAATCCGTTTCAATGACAGCTCATTATCAAATATAAAATGGCTTATGGGGGCCGGGGGGGGGGGTCTTCATCAAAATTCTCTCGAAATTGATTTTATAGTTATTTCTGATAGAGGGGAGTGATATCTATCAGCTGCTTTTGGTCCCATGGAAAAATATTGTTCCTAGCCAAAATTATCGCCAGTCAAAGGTCAGCGCTTATGTGTAATTGTATTGCGCGAGCGATTTTCAATCGCGCGCCCTGAAAATCGAGTCTAAAAATCTATCTTCTCCTACATTTTTTGAACAATCACCCAGAAACTTTCAGGATATGTTCTAGGGATCATTTAGAAGATATCTGTCGAGCCGAATTTTGAGATAGGCCTTAGAAGATTTTTAATTCAATTTTGAAAATCTTGGACCTCATTTTTTGACAATTTTTTCAGGTCCAAGATTTTCAAAATTGAATTAAAAATCTTCTAAGGCCTATCTCAAAATTCGGCTCGACAGATATCTTCTAAATGATCCCTAGAACATATCCTGAAAGTTTCAGGGTGATTGCTCAAAAAATGTAGGAGAAGATAGATTTTTAGACTCGATTTTCAGTGCGCGCCATTGAAAATCGCTCGCGCAATACAATTACACATAAGCGCTGACCTTTGACTGGCGATAATTTTGGCTAGGAACAATATTTTTCCATGGGACCAAAAGCAGCTGATAGATATCACTCCCCTCTATCAGAAAAGACTATAAAATCAATTTCGAGAGAATTTTGATGAAGACCCCCCGGCCCCCTTAAGTTGTCACGTACAACATTGAGTACAGTTTCGGGTTAATGCAGCAGTTTGAATATTAGTCATAAATCAGCCAACTTCCCCAAGTTCAATTTATGTCCAGTTTCTATTACCGAACTAATGTTTTTTGACTTCTGACCTATCAATAGCATGCCTATGTCTTTCTGACCAAATATGTGGTCAGAGGCCTAATAAAGTTCAGCTGTATCTTTGTACCAACCCAACTTGCAGTCTTGCCCAAAGTCGTCCCAAAATATATGACCGATTGTTAAAAGAGACAATGTTACTATCTCTATTGTTATATATTTAACTAAATATGATACTTAATTTTGGCATTTTCATTATTAAATTAGATCCACGCCATCAAATTGCGATTAAATAGGCACATCAAAAGGTCTGACGAGATCTCTGCAATTATTGACATTTAAAATGCTATCACATTAAATAACTTAAAGACCTCCATCTCTGTAATAGATGGGAAAATTAAATCATATCATTAAACATGGAACATGTAGCTCGACGCTTATCTTATAAATAGAAATGTTGGCAAGGAAAATTCATTTGCCATGGTCCCGCAGCCAATTTATAATTTACAGTTTGAGTTTTGGGCTTTGGCAATTCGGTAATGTAGCTACGCACGGTTAAGGCACGGTTAAGGCACGGTTAAGGCACGGTTAAGCCGTCTAGTGAGTACACAATTAGTAAGCATGAATCTCGGGATTCTTGCTTAGGAGATGTTAACTTAATTTGAAGAGCCTGGTTACTTGAAGAGATCGTTAATCGAAATAAGGATTTCAAATATAGGACGGTCACACGAAGCAGGGCTGTTGCTTTAGAATTAGAATATTTATTCAAAGCGGGAATCACACTGTAAAATTTACAGATCGTCACATTCAGATCATGTGCCCTAGTTAACCACTTGTATGTTTATATTTCCCCAACCGTGCCTTAACCGTGCGTTAACCGTGCGTAGCTACATTACCGAATTGCCTGAGTTTTAGTTATAACTTCAATCTAAGAATTGATTTCCTTTGAATTTGTCAGTTTCTAAAATTAACATTTTTTATACACCACTCTCATCGTAAAAATAAGATTCTAAGAAGATCAGATGATTTTGCAGTTTCATCAAACTCAAAGTAAACAGTAAGAATCCTGGCCTGGGCAGTGGGCACCATATTCCTATATTTTAAGAAAAATAAATTTTATTATAATTGAGTAAAGTAGCCGACAATGTTATAATCTACTCAAAACACTGTCTTGGCGGATTTTACACTCATACACGACGAGTCAATGATTTAGTAGGTGATAATCAAAGTTCCTGGAATGTTATGATGTTCGGTCTACGGACCCCCTACTCGGTAGTACTGACTGTTATTGTGACAAAAGACTCGTTGTCAGGGTCAAGTTGAATGAATTTATTTAGTGCCAGCGCAATCAGTAATTCTTGTTTTATGGTACAACTTGCCCGATAAGAAGATTCAAGAATTTTTAACTGGAGGCATTCATCCCTGTGTTATTACCTAATCGTGCGTTCCATTAACACTGAACATAATTTCCCCTTTCTCTTAATCGTACGTGCCGACTTCTCGGTGAAATCGTTTAAGTCTCGTAACTCAAGTTTTTTTCTCACACGTTCGGAGGATCTTTTACCCTCTCACCCACGATATTGACAGCCTATAACGATGACGTTGGGTCTGACCAACCTTACTCAAGTGCTGATCCTTTTATTCACTCTATTGGTAGGACTCCTTTATCTCGTATAATTGATATTAGTTAATTGATTGGCTTTCGTTAATCGGTTAAATTTCCTTCAAACATAACGGTCACCATATTTGGGATTTCTGAAGTGATATTGGGAGAGTATCCGGGTTTTATGTTTTAAAAAGAGAAAATCGAATTTTCCAAATTATTTATCAGTGAAAATCAAGTCCATTCAGAATATCAACTTGTAGACATGGTTGATTCGAATACTCCATCTAATCACTTTGGAAATTGGAGCAGAACTAGAAAGTATACACTTTCACTTAAAATGCCATGTACATATTGTACAATCAACAGTGTACAAATTATATTGGCACCGATAAGTCCGCCTAAAAATTACAAAACAGGTCAGAGGAGGAGAAGGTGCAACAGTAGATGTTACATTGGTAAACTATCAAGATCCAACTAGTTGTTCTCAGGATGATGACAGTTGCTTTGTATCCTTTGAACTGACTATTCGAGGTCTCACAACTATGGTGTAAGTAGCAATTGGATATGATTGCAACTATGTTTTGCAATCAAAACGGATATGATTGACTACATTTTCATTGTTACAATTATTATAGATAAAAATAAGTTTTCTAGAAAATACGTGGAAAAGGAAACTGATAAGTTCAAGCTGGAGCCAGGAGGCAATTTGGACTTCAAACTGGGAAATGATGCATTGAGCAGCGGGGTTTCTAACCCTATCGGATTTGACCCTTATAAACTGGTTAGACACACGATCCATCAAATAGAGTTTTTTAAATTGTACTCTGCTAACTTTATAAAATATAGTGTTACTTTTGGCACTTACAAACCAAGAAATTGAGAGTTGACATTATTATTTTACGTAGCGCAGATTGATAAACGTAGCATCACTTATAAAAACAAATTACAGTTTTTCTCACTGGTAATTCTGGTAATTCACGGTACGTGGCATAACGACCATTTCATCAGGATGACGTTTATTTGTACTTGCGGGCGCGTGACAACAGCAACAACATTCTCTTTGAATATAATATGAAGCTATATGTGACGAACACAACTGCTAACATGGAATACAGTCGGAAACAGACGGAGAAGAACGGTCAGGAGTCAGTCCTCACTACCAAATACAAGGTAATAAAAACATGGTAACAAATACAAGATAACACTAATACAATACCATAACGCACTGAGAACATTATTACATAAATCAAACTTACATTAGTTAATCAGCCATAATAACATTGAAACTGGATCAATTTCAATCGTAACTATAAAATCGGGTGAATGGAAACCATTTGCACTTAACTAGCTTTCAATAATCAATACCCAAACAATAAATTAGTGTTTTGTAAAGGTTTCTTGCGGAGGCAACCAAGGAGGTACAGGCTGCACTGGTTGCAAGAAGAACTACTACGGTACGAACTGCGGGAAGCAATGTCAATCGTACGACAATTTCACATGCAACACCAACGGTAAGAACAGCCACTGACAGTCCTTTCAATTTCTCGAAATAAATTGACAGTTGAAACTTTTTGTTAAACAGTGCAAGTGTGGCTAAATTTATTTCCCGATCAATCGGTAAATCCATAATCTCACTCACAGGAGACAAGATCTGTAAACTGAACTACTTCAACTCGAACTGTAACGCTTATTGTGTCCCCGCATCTCAATATACTTGCAACTCGACAACCGGAGAGAAAGTTTGCGAAGGACACTGGACAGGTTCAGAATGTGAAACTTGTGCAGCTGACTATTTTGGCCCTAACTGTGACACTTTCTGTCAAGCCAGCTCAGCTATGAACTGTAGTGATACTGGGGAGAAGGAGTGTTTGGGACACTTTACAGGACAGAACTGTTCTCTTTGTGAGACAGGGTGGTATGGGAGTGGATGTGATCTTTATTGTGATCGTAACAGTACATTGTGGACTTGTGATGACCATGGAAACAAGATCTGCAACGGAAAAAGAACTGGTATGTAAATCATTTAATAATCTTATTTGTATCGATGGCATTTTAGAATTTAGATTGTGCAAATTGGTTTATGACAGACAAGTCGCTCATAAGTCGCTCATATTAATGATAAAGAGCGATGGCCCAAGTATGCTACCAATGGTAACGCTTTACTTGACATGGTCTTTACGAGAATAATTAGGACGAATAGAGCCATTCACTGTTTTCTGAACTTTGTGCAGAAATATATTATCAAACTTAATACCTATCATCATTCATCATTCATCATTCATCATTCATCATTCATCATTCATCATTCATCATTCATCATTCATCATTCATCATTCATCATTCATCATTCATCATTCATCATTCATCATTCATCATTCATCATTCATCATTCATTTTAAGAACTGAAAAGTTTTGTTTTCAGGAGCAAACTGCACGGAGTGCATTCAAGACTGGTACGGTTTGGATTGTTCCGTAAATTGCACGGCAGTTCCTAATCAATACACCTGCAACTCAACAACCGGGGAAAAAGTTTGTGAAGGACACTGGACAGGTTCAGAATGTGAAACTTGTGCAGCTGACTATTTTGGCCCTAACTGTGACACTTTCTGTCAAGCCAGCTCAGCTATGAACTGTAGTGATACTGGGGAGAAGGAATGTTTGGGACACTTTACAGGACAGAACTGTTCTCTTTGTGAGACAGGGTGGTATGGGAGTGGATGTGATCTTTATTGTGATCTCAACAGTACATTGTGGACTTGTGATGAACATGGAAGTCACATCTGCATCGGCAACAAGAAAGGTATGTTATCTTGCAGCGATCATATTTGCATCATCATCATTTTATATTCTAGTGGTTTTATGCCAGACAAAAGTTTTTGTATACTGAATACGGATGATAAAAAGCAAGAGCCACAGCGTACCGTGCTGCCTCGGGGAACGCCCTATTTCAAATGGGCAAGCACATCCCCTTAGATATAATTTTTCTTCCTATGTACCAGGGCTCCTAGAATATATATCAGAAAGAAAGAATGCAGCTCCCATTATGGCTAAGTCAGTAAATTTTTAAACATTATACTTATAGAGATGTATTGGTTAAGCCCTCATTCCCCAGGGACAGACTGTACGGATTGTAAGGAAGGTTGGTTCGGAGAGGATTGTTCAGTAGAATGTACAGACACAGAGAAATACAAATGTACAGACCAAGGCGACAAAACTTGCACTTCTAACTGGAACGGTCCTAACTGTGATAGGTAAAAACAATCTCATTTTATCATTGTCATGTTTGTATCTGAAGATTTTCTAAATTTTTATATACAAGTTATCATTCGAATGTCGAAATTGTCTTAGCCGAAACGAACCCACTTTACCGAAACGAACCCACCTACTGAAACTTAAAACAAATTTCCACCGCAGATGTAAGGAAATGTATTTCGGACTGAACTGCACGTGCAAAAGAGAGCCAGGAAGAGCGGAGTGTGATAACGAGGGGGTGTTGCATTGTCTGGGACACTGGACTGGTCAACTCTGTGATATCTGCATTCCCGGATACTCTGGACCTCAGTGCTCTCAACCAGACAAAAATCCTTTCAATAGTAAGTTTTCTGTGCGGTCAGTTTTCTATTATTTCTCTGCCAAATCATGTTGCCACTCAAAGTGGAGCTGCATAAGATTGGAAACAACTTAAAAGTCACGATACAGTCATGAAACTATTTCAGGGATTAAGGTGCTGGGGAAAGTGGTATACTTTTTCCTGGTCGCACTGGTTAGCGTTCTATTGGCAGTCATATGTACCTTCACCATCACCGTTTTGAGAAAACCAACAAAAAAATCACTCGCCAGAATCAGAACAGGAATCCGGAAAAATAAGATTTTCGATCAAGGTATTGATGATGATAATAAGCCGATAATGAAAAACAAGGGTAAAATGGTGTTTATCGAGGATATGTGACTAAAGACTTATTTTCACAAAATTTATCACAAATTGATTCGAAGAATACAGGTCGAAACCGCCCTTTTCGTTTTTTCTTTTGCATGTATTTCCTAGTTTTTAGAATTTTTGAATGATTTATTACCAATTTCACAGTAACAAGTTTTCCGCCAAAAAGGTATCTATCAATAAATTAAAGTCAATTTTAGGGTTTCTGTCATCTTTTGATAAAACATAGAGATGGAATAGAATCTTGCTGTCAAATTATAGAATAAAATAGCAAAACTTGCGATTGTACTCACGTAAAAAGTGCTGATACAGGATTGGATGAAGAGCCACATTTTCTGTAGCGAGAGTTGACCCATCGTGTGTTGCTCCTCCAACTGAGCTATAAGGATCACATACTCTTTAACTAACGTTTTAATAGCTGCACACAGCGCTTGATTCACCTAATAGAGGTAACAGTGTTGAAGGTGACTCGGTTACATTTATATACAGGGATGCACATCTTTTTTAAATCATTCAACAGAGAAGCAAAAAGCAATTAGTTTACCATGCCAGAGCTGTACTTAGAACAGTGATCGAGGAATCTGGTGACGATTGAGTAGCAGGAACAGAGAGGTAATATCTTAGTGACAAGACCTCCAATACCCGGATCTAACCCGTTCTGTGGGAAATTTGTTACGTTGGTGTGATAACATCAGAACTTTGCATTTCTATATATAATACCTTACTCGGGATTATTACGACGGGTTTATTAACGACCGGTTAAAATATGGTTCGGGAAAAATATGGCGAAATTGCTCAAAACCCACCACATTTTCCCGGTCGCCATTTTACCGGTGTCCAACCTTTCAATTTTAGATTCAAAAATTTTGTCTCAGATGTAAATTTCCTTATTAGAGATAAGCAAGTTTAGAAATTTTCGCATTGCTAAAACTTGTGAAACAAGTCGAATTTTCAATAATTGTTGAAAGTAGACAGAAATAATGACTCGTGGTTAATCAAACTAGATGGAAAATAATTTTTAACATTTGAAGCGTAACAACCAGATCGATATTAAGATAAAGGGAGAGCTGTTTAGTCTTCCAATAAGTTGTAATCATCTTCGTTATCTTCATCTGGATCATCCCTTTCATCAGTTTTAATTAATTCAAGTTTTAATTTAACTATTACTTTTACTTTGAGTCCTATTTCATTATGTAGAGATAGTCAATACCTAAGAAATTAAAAATTGGCCTATTTAAATCAAATTTGACAATAAGGATATATGACAAGAATTGGGCAAAAAGGTGAATTTTTTGCAATTTTAGCCACATGAAGTCGAAAAACCTACAACAAGTGTCCCAATAGTCTTCTTTAGTGAATATAAGACAACGATTAAAATATGAGCACCCATACCCCTTGGGAACCCTAAAAGCTGAGTAGGCGGGTTTATTAACGACCGGTGAAAATGTGGTTCGGGAAAAATATGGCGAAATTACCCTAAACCCACCACTTTATCCCGGTCATAATAATCCCGAGTAAGGTAGTAGAAAATTGAAATACACATATTTTATTTCAGATCGAAAATTTGAAGTGACCCGGTTAATTAATGAGAAGGAATTAGCCTCGTACGATTTGCTTGAATCTGCGCTGTCCGAAAGGGCTCTCCAGCGGCTCCACCAAGATGTACTGTCCCTCAATCCCTGTCAAGACGAATAACAAGTCCTCCACTATCGCATTTTCTTGCTGAAAATGTTCTTTTTAGGTAAAAAGATAAAATCAATATTTAACTAAATTCATCTGCCATCATTTATAAGCCCCAACTACCGAAATGAATTACATGTTATCACCGCTACCTGTAACGCAGTCATGGTGTGTAGAGGCTGTGGACCACATGAATACTCCTCATCCATAATTACAAAATCTCTGGTAAGGAGGGTTCTAGCTACAAGATTTGGTAGCTTCTTCAGCTGCAGGGCTTTTCTTTTTTCCTCGTTTGCTTTTACAATTGCCAGCTGTGTTCTCACTTCTTCCACCTGTGTTCCAGTTTGGAGGTTACTTTATCTAAAAACATTTCTCGTAAAATTCGCCAGTTTCTTTGTTATTCGTTGTTTAAAGCAGAAGTTTTGAAGACTGGGAAATGTTGTTTAAATATTAAGCAGAAGGTTTGAAGACTGGGAAATATTGTTTAAATTAACTAAGCAGAAGTTTTGAAGACTGGGAAATGTTCACCTCTTTCTGAGACAATGCCCGAGGGATGGTCTCCAGGATAAGATCGGAAGCGTTGAGGTCAGAAGTAGAGTCGAGGCTGGTGAGATCTCTGTCTACAGTCTCCATGTAGTCCAACACTCGCTTGTCCTCTAAACACTAGTGAATTTATTGTAAAGTAAATTAATTATCCAAACTAATTCTATATGATGTTGGTGGGGTGGTTTACAGATATTGTGTAAATAAAAGAATTGCTATTACATGTCAAGAAAATGGGTTTCGCTTTCACAATCAGTGATAATATCCGTCTTCAGATAAAAATGTATAGTTAAAAACCAGACTCAGATACAGAAATCCGGAGTTGATATTCTACAACTGTACCAAGTACCAAGTGACTCACTTTTCCTAAGAAGTATGTGTAAGGGTCTAACTCGAAGAGTTGTTTTGTTTTGAGGGACATGTAAGTTTTGCGGAATTCCGCGGGGTCCAGGCTCTTTTCTTGAACATTCTTCGTTAACTTGTTCTTAGCAGTGTGCACTGAGGCCTGGACAGTGGAATGGTGTAAACACTAGAGAAATGTAATGGACAATTGTGATACATATTACATATCATACACATCATACCATGTGTCACAACAACAAGTTACAGTTCTTCCAAATATTTGACTCCTCTTAAGATAATGATGGAAAACTTTTATTATTTTTACCTGAGAAACAACAAAACTTGAGTTACTCCGGCAGAGTTCTTCGACAAAAGTTTCTGGAGGAAGTTCGGAGTTCAAAGCAGCCAATAGCTGCACAGTCAGGTGGTGGACTTTATATTGGCTTTCCATCTTCTAAAACGTGGTCATCATCAACCTACTAGTAATAATATTATTATCAAGTAAATTTTATATTTGGTTGGTTATCATTTTATTCTATGCCGACAAAAAGATTTGCGATTAAAATTTAGGGGCACGTCATGCACGTTTTTTAGAATATTACAGTTTCAATTGGCCGGGGGAGGAGACGGTTCAAGGTCAAAGCTAAAACCAATTCATTAGATAAAGATTAACAACTTTCTCCGTTCCGATCATTGTCTAGATCATACCAAAACAATAACAGGATTGTCGCCTCTTATCTGCAGTAAATACACGATTTTTACAAATTTTGTCCAGATTACGCAATACAGGATTGTTCATTAAATTAAACAAAAACCGGTAATTAGGCATGAATGGTCGGCAGACAATTGGCCGTACAATTCTTTGCATAGATCTGCACGAGAAGGAGGAGGAGAGAGAAGTAGAAGTGCAAATCCCGCAATTCATTATCACGAGATCAATCTCAATCTCATCATCCCACAGGGAGGTTCACTTTAATAATAATTTAGTCTAGATACGTCCCTATCATATAAATCTCAATATAAGTTAGTGTTTGATGATGTTCGTGACGTCACTTTTAAACTCCCGGAAGGCTTCAGGCCAGGTTTGGTGGGGAGGAACTTGTTTGTCCTGGAACCAGGTGAATTCACGGGACACTCCCGTCTTCTCGAGCAGGCATTTGTCAAACTCTATCTGCGTGGTTCGGCAAAATTGGTGCCTGAAAAGGGTATCAAACATTAATTCCAGTATATTACTGAAAGTTTATGCCACTAACTATTTTTGCCAGCAAAAACCTTACATCTGCATTATTACACATAGTTATTAAGCAAAAATCACATAGTATACAGTCTTTTTGAAACCTCCCTTGCTCTCGGTGATAATGTAATATGTGAAGCCTGAACGCACCCTTTAAAACTTCACTCGTCAATATTTGACAAAAACCCTTAGATTTCACTAATATCTGGCTTCAGTAACAGGTTAAGTCACTGCCAAGTGCCAACTTTTTCTCGTTAACCCTTCGAGGCATGCCCCTCACAATATGAACTTTAATTCTGGTTGGGGGGGGTACCAATGGCATAAATGGCATAATGGAGAATTGGCCAATAAAAATTTCCATTTATGCCATAAAACGTATGCCATTTATGCCATTTTTGATATAATACATTTCTATTTTCTTTATTTGTCATATGAATCTTTAACGATCATTTTTTTTTTTTTTTTTTTTTTTTTTTTTTTTTTGGGAACTGGGTTTTACTACCCCAGTTAATGTTTACTAAAATAGATATTGAACAGCAATTTAATAAGATAAAAATCGTACCAGCGTACTTTAAAATCTGTATGATTCATGAAATTAAAAGTAGCTATGACCATTATATTAAGAGTTAAATATATTGTTTATATTCCCCATCATGGACTAGTGGCTCAACAAAACTGCGTCGGAAATTAAAGCTCAGCTAAAGCCTGAAGACTATTCAGTCTTGTATAGAAAATAACTACAGCTACCAATATGTCCCTCACAAACATGGTCCAAAACATATCAAAACAGCACACGAAACACACACTCAAAAAAAGTTGTCAACCGTTGCTCTCATCGGCACAATAAATTTGCCCGTCCTTTATGTAAAACTTTTTGGTCGGTTCTGCAAGTGCCCGCTTCTTCATGTCCTGTACCAGATCTTTCCGGAGCTTCCTCTGTTCGACAGACCGATCAGGGCTCAAGAAAACTGTCTTAAACTTCTCACTCTGCCGCAGGTTCCTGGCATTCCTCAGAATCTGATTAACGATGAGCGAGTTTGAGGTGATAACTTTAACTGGTCGCATTGAGTCAACCGTTTTCTTTTTTCCTATTCTCTGAGCCTCTACTTTTGGCTTTATGCCAATAGTTTCCAGAACTTCACTGACTTGAGATTCGAGCTTCTCTTCGTTTTCCTCAGGCAGACCGAAGATAAGAAGGTTCCTGCTGCGGTCCTCATCTGCAACAATAGTCTTGACTACAGACGTCAATGCTTCCGGGCTGATTACTGGAGACTGTGCTGGCAAACTTTGAACGACTGAGCTGTAAGATTGGAACTCCGCTTTCACTGAATCAGCAACTGAACTTGACACAGTTTTCTTCAACGCTTCAAGTTGCTCAGTCTTGCAAGCTGATAGCTCGGCCTGAACACTGATAACCTGCTCTTGCTTTTCAATTAACTGACCCTGAAGTCTGGTCAACACATTCTTATACGCTTCAACGGTCTCCATAAGATAGTTCGTATACTCAAAAGATCGACCACACACATCGACAATCTCCGGCTTATTCAGTCTGTTGAAGTTCTTAGCGTCCGCAATGTCCTTTAACTTTCCGTAAGGCTTGCCAAATTTCTTCAGAGTCTCTTTGCTCCAGGTGAACATCTCATTCAACATGTAATTGATACTTTCCAAGTCCAAATCTGCCATCGTAAAGATCAGCACAACAAGCTAGCAGCGCAGTAGCGGTGTAATTATCAAGAGATAAGCAGTGCGATAACGAGAGCTAACAATTTTAAAACGGCAGTGAGAGTGTATTTCGATAAGTGGGAGTGTATTTCGATAAGTGGAGAGTGTATTTCAAGCGTTATAAAGCATGAAACATGTCTCTTATTCAAGTACTAATAATAATTTGCGAATTTAAAGTCAAATATGAAGACCTAAATTCATGGCATAAATGGAGAATTGGCCAATCAAAATTTCCATTTATGCCATAAAACGTATGCCATTTATGCCATTTTATGCCATTGGTACCCCCCCCTTCTGGTTACCTCAAACAAAACAAAGATAAATCGCCGCTCAGCTATATTGCTTTGAATTAATCAAATTCGATCGCTGAATACCTTACAAGACATTTTTGTGGCGGACCAATTTGCGACGACCGAAATTTTGACGGTCCGAAAATATGGCGAAATTGAACAAAAACCGTCACATTTCGGACGTCACAGAAAATAAGGGTATTTTTCATCATTTTGTTTTCTGACACAAAGGAAATTCAAAATTTTCTAAAAATCGGTAAAATAATGTTGAAACAAAATAAAACTTATAAATCGATTTCTTCATCTTCCTCTAAGGGGTCCGGCTCGACTCTTTCAGTTTCACTTATTGAGTTTGGTATTAAATTGTTTATCTTGACTTAGTCTCTTATAAAACGTTTATGTTAGCACATAAATGTAATTTATTGTAAATTTAAAACGTATTACTTGACATTAAATTCATCATGGAATATTGTGTTTATTTGTCCCACCATCATATCAAAAACTTTTCAAGAACAAAATGAATCGATGAAGCCACAATTATTGGAATAAGCTAAAAATAATGCGACGGATTCTATTACGACGACCGAAATTTTGGCGGTCCGAAAATTTGGCGAAATTTTCGGAAAACCGCCACATTTCGTACGTTATAAATATGTCTTGTAAGGTACATTATTAACAAACAATATTTACCGTCCCATACGTTTGGTCAGATTTTATCGATGAAAGAGGCCAGGAAAATAAAGCAGAGTACTCACTTTCTGGAGTTAAGATCAAGACAGGTAGTGTAACGAGCAAACGGCATCTTGCACTCTTTGTACACCTTGTCCATGAACATCTTGGTGCAGTTGGTCACCAGTTGTCCCTCTCTCAGACACTGACGAGGATCGTTTCCGGTGTCGTTTCTGCACAGCATAAACCGGTCATTTGCGTCCTTGCATGCCTGGTAAAGTGAACCGGTCATTCGCGTCGTTGAAAACTGGTAAGATACTACCGTCATAAAGTAAGGGCTAAGGACGCCAAATGTTAAATACACGAGAACAGTCAGCCGTGACACGTATGACCAGACCTTCAACTAGTGACACAAAAATTATGAACTTTCTCTGCTTCTACATTCAAAAGCAAGATATTACTGAAATGTGCCCGCTTGTATTGAATCAAGATTCTTCTAGATCAATTCAATTTCTCTCCACTTATCTCTCTTAAATGCTAACTCTCTAGTCTCTAAGTTTCATAGGCTTGTTGATATAATTCAAACTTGTCATGACTGTGACCGACTATACCCCTGTCATAATTAATTAAAGAATAGGGTTATTTCTCTTTCTTTTTTCCATAAACCCATTCCTTGAAGGTACAAATGAATTTACAGTGTCACGCGATTTTCCCCTGTGAGCATACTTTTATTTTCCTGTCCAAAAGTAAATTTATGGGAAATTTTGCTAATCAATCTATGGTCAGTAATGTTTTTGCCTGTTACTCATAGGTCTATCCAATCGATTGATTGTTAAATTAATAGGACGATTTAAGTTGTAAAGTAATAATAGGTGATTTCTCGGTCACTACAGCCTCAAGATGTCATGTTAATTTGTTCAACAGTCAAATCAATATTCAATACATTCTATGCGACATTGCGACGAATAAACAACCGCCAAATCATTTAATTTGAATACAGACTTACTTGTCCGAGATGATCGGCGACTGCCATTAGCGGAACACTGGTGACATTGAAATCCTTGTATTGGTCGATCTCCTCCCATGGGATGTTTTCACATGACATCTTTATCTTTTATATGCAGAAATTAAAAAATTAAGATAATTTGGAAATTGAGAATGAGAAATTTAAAATTAAATCGATGAAATCAATCTGGTTTAACAAAACGGCGAGCCTATTGACGGAATGAAAAGGGTACTTTTAGACATTGCGGTAAGAACACCTGTTTTAAATGAAATGGTTGCTGAATACACGCTATAAAAAAGCGATGACAAATCAAAAGTGGAGATCTATTTATTGTTAAAAACCACTGAAATACTTGGATTGTCCCAAACTACGAGTTGAATTAAAAAGTTTGCATTCAATTGCAATTTCAGTCGAATTTGCAGAATAACATCCTCAACAAATTATTTTTCCCATCAATGTCATAAAATAAAATATACATTATCTAACCCGTAAAATGTAATAAGCATCAGCAAATAGTACAAAAAGCACAAATCCATTAATATCATAACATCACTCTCGTAAGACATATCTACAAAAAAATGTTCATTACATATAATCGTAGTTCCACCACCTATGGTTGAAGCAAGCAATCGCTGCACACATGATAATCGCTGTGCAGCAGTTAGCTTTTTGCAGTTGAATTAACTGTGCTTTAAGGAACAGTTAAACGCCATGCAACGATTACAGGCCTAAACAACAGATGGTAAAGCTACAATAACAGCATCGCAACTAAAATATAAACTAGAATATTCTGGAATACAAGTTGGATATAACCACTAATGTGATGTTTTTTTTTGTTTATTTATAAAAACAAGCCACAACTGGAGGAGAAGGAAGGGTCAGAAACAAAGAAAGAATTTGTTGTTCATAACCTTCCCTGCTATAATCGTGCCAGCATATATAGCAAAGTGCATCAGCTATTTGTTGTTATGCAGCACAAATACCTCAATTCTTAGATGACAGCTTTATTTCATATCACAATTTAAAGTACGATGGTTAAGTGCAGCAGCCACAATCTACATGTGATACTGGTATCCGTTGTTGTTAAAAACAACCTTGGTTACAGTTACTTACACAACTTCTTGTAGTGGCTAAACCCAGCAAGGTAAACCAACTATTAAAACCGAATTAAAATAATAATATAATCATTGTTTACATACAGCACATGGCATAACAAATCGAACTGATTGTATTCTATCTGAGTAAAAATATGTATTAAGTGTTAAGTGTTCCAGTAGTGACTTAATCAGGCTCCATTTCCTATTGAATTGACGTTATTTTCCAGTATTTCCTCAAATCTTTGTCGAGAATACTAACTCCATAAACTCTTCATAGTTGATTTGAATCCATCCATTGCGATTTGTGTCCTTCCGTTGGAATGCAGCAGATAACGTCTGAATAAGTAAGTTTTAGACAAGAGTGAAATGTGAATCAAGAGTGAATCAAGAAGTATACAAAATACAGAATAATTGATAAAAATAACTCCACGTTAGATCATTTTAGTTTTATGAGGTGATGAATAAATAAAGTATCAAAATAAATCACTGAAACCTGGATAATCACTAAACACTGAATAAAGTCATCAAATGTTATCCGCTGGTTTCCATCTCGATCAAACTTTCTGACCACGAGTCGGTAGAATTTAGGCGACAGACTAAAACCTACGATTTTTGTAGTTACTAGTATTTACTACAAATTTACCTGGATCAACACGCAGGACTGAATAAAATCATCAAATGTTATAGTGCGGTCACCAGTCCTGTCAAACTTTCGCATCAATACTCCGAAGAATTTGGGAGATAGTCTGAAACCTTAAATTTGTTGTGTTAAATAGTGAATTGTGTTTATCGTAATTTTTCCTCCTAATATTGACAGGGTCTACTTTCTGGATCTATTGTGTGTTGGCACACGCGGCGGGGCCAGGTGTTTAAATAAAGGTGGCAGCGCCAACCTTTTGAAATTGAGCGGCCTATTCCACGACGACTATTCAAGTTTGTCCGGTGTCAAAATAGTAATTTCGTGTTCTGCGATACCAGTTTAAACATTGTCATGGCTCACCAACATTCTGTCGACAACGAATCTAATTTTGGATTTGTAGCGCCACAGCTCCTGCATGCAGGTGCGCGCGTTGGCGCGCAATGTCACAACTAGCTAACGGCTTACAGTCTAATCATATTCAAAACCATGCGCTCTACGTTTATGACACAAAACCATGTGACCGAAACAAATTGCGTATCGGGACAGATCCAAATAGATATCTTACCAAATGATGCTATGGCAGTCTGCAGTTCGTTTTGATCAATTGACCCGCTGTTGTCTCGATCGTAATACCTAGGGAGATAAACGATGTCAAGCTATGGCTCTCCAAAGTATCACAACATCTCCACTATTTGGCTGCAGTATCACGCAACGTGTGGTAGCCAATATACAGATGACGGAAACATAACATTAGATCACCACAATTTTTGGCTTCAACGTCAGAGTTTAACAAAAACAGACATTAAATAACGAGACATAATAAGTCGTGTGCTAAACTATTTCCTCAAATAGCTGGCAGTATCATTTACCTGAAAGTGTTCTGCCAATCGTTTATGTACTTCCACAATGCACCAAATTCTTGGAAATTTATTGTACCATTTCCGTCCTTATCAAACATCGCTGAAACACCGTCAAAATAATCTGGAGCCTTGTAAATAACAGAGACAAGGAAATTGTGGTACATTGCATTGCTTGGCCAGGATCTAAATATCAAACAAGAACATTAAAGTTTAGGGAAGTTTGATGTTAAGCTTGCTAGAATATTGTCTAGTCGGAAACACTGACTCACAAATCATAAGACGAATAGTTTCAGGATTGAAGGGTTGCCAAGTTCCATTGGATAGCGCAGATTGGAGTTCGTTAACAGAAATCATGCCACTCCTATCTTTATCTACACTGCATAAATACGTAATGCATCAGTATTGGGAGGGAAATAATCATGACCTTATCAAGTCAAACTGTAACACTGTTGAACTTTAGTGCAGGTTCGATTCGGTTCTAGGTTTGGTTCAGTTGCGTGGCTCCAGATTTAACTCGTTAATTGATTGGAGCGGCACAACCGAACCAAACCTAAAACCGAACCAAAACTACAGCGTTAATATTTGAAACATCAGTTGGGAGGAAAATAATCATGACTTGATGTAGTAAAGTGTAAGTGATTGAAGGATGTAGAATGTACGTCAGTAAATGATATACATATCTCGTACACTGAGGCACGCTCCTGAGTCCTGATCTAACAAGCTGAGGTAAAATGATTTATACCTGGCGAATATCTGGTTGAGATTTGGTTGAGCCATTGGTTGCTGAGGGGGAGGTGGAGCCGTGTACCCCGGGCCACCATATCCACCTGGAGCGCTCGGTTGACCACCGTACCCACCTGGTGCGCTCGGTTGACCACCGTACCCTGCCGGTGCTGCATTATAACCACCCGGCGCGGCCCCTCCTGGTGCTGCGTTAAAACCTCCCGGCGCGGCATAACCTCCTTGTGGTTGTTGGTACCCTGGGGCTCCACCGTAACCACCTGGAGGACCTCCAGGTGGCGCACTTGGTCGACCATAGCCAGACATCACCTACGAACGAGTTTTTCTTGTTATTCACAGATTGTTTAATTGATGAAAAACCAAGAGGTGAACAAGATAAGTTGGCATTATAGGAGGAAATAAATTTATCTTCCATGATTCCATATTCAGTCTCGGGAGCCTTGTGAAAGCCTTCATTCGTCAGGCTATACAACATTCTCGTATGAAAACTTTCGACAGTATATTTCTCAGACTACCTGAAGAGCGTACAGACAAATCCGTTTGAAAAGATCGATTTACCGCAAAACGAGCTTTCAAAGGATTTTTGAGTCCCACTAGGTGTCCTTTATGGCTGACCAACATTTCCGCGTGTCTTTAAAGGCCACTTTTTTCCACTTTAACTTCAAAATGAAGTATTCTAATGTTTTAAACTAATTACAACACTACTAAATAGCTATTACATTTATTGATGATGTAACAGAATGTATATGTATAATGTTTATTTAGAGGGGTCCTAATCCCCTTCCATCCTCAATTGGAGTTTCACATTTTAGACATTATGTTTCTTCATAATTAATATATATAAATGCAAGTTGCGGTTATTTTGCACTTATCCATAAAATAGAAAAATATGCCTAAATTTGTTTTGTGACTTTGAGCTTTTGAGGTCCAAAAAATCGATTTTCCAGTTGGCTGAGCACATTTTTGAGGGCATTAAAAGCTGCACCAGAATTCCAAGAACAATTTTAAAATTTTATGTCAAGTATCAAAACAATCCCAAGTTCCCTGAAGCTGATGGACTTTCCAGTCAAAACAAGCCTGAAAAGTAAATTCTCCCTTTTTTATTTTAAAAGGTTATAAAAACACTTTGAGATTTTACACGCATGTAGAACAACACGTGGACAAATTTAGTCCACAATCTCTTGCTCAAAAACCATTTGAAAGCTCGTTGTGTCGGTAAATCGGTTTTTCAGACGGATCTGTATGTACTACCAGTGTATTTTGATGATTGGAAAGTTTATTCTATTTCCTGGAATTCGGAGTTAGAATTATAAATACTTCTAAACATTCCATAAACTTCTCCAATATCCCTTATTCCTGATACATTAAAGAATGAAGATGGCTAAGTATTTATTCTAAAAACGGGCAATTCTTTTCACAGTGGAATTTTCAACTGAAAATATTATATCTATTAGCCGACGCTGGGTGCTATTAAATTCCGACATTCCCAGAGAATACCTAGGCCTAGGTAGTAAGATTAAATTTAAATACAATTTATGTATTATTTTATGTATTTTGTTTTGAAACCTCTTGCAATCACAGCCTGTAATAAATACATCAGATCCCTCCGAATTTTCTCGAATATTTATTTCTGATTTACTGGAGAATAAATGATGTATCATCCATCATGAGGAGTTGTCGTTCAATTTGACAAGTAGCTGAGTATGCAATCATAGGAGCTTGAAACTTATTCAAGCTTGAAACTTATTCAAACTTATTCAAGGCAAATTGTGGCAAATTGCTTTTCATCAGTGCATCATGTAACATCCTTATCAATTTGTTCAAATTTCTCATTTTCTACATATATTATAGACCCCAAAATTTTGGTGACGTTCGGATATAGTAATCAGTGAATGAAAGCAAGAAATATTCGGGGAAGGCCTTCGTGGACAGTTATTTTGTCGCAAATTAGGTAAATGGTTATAATCCAAGTGCAATGCATCATCCTTATGACGCCAATACAATTATCCTTTGACTAGCGTCAAAGGACCCAAACATTTGGAACTGATTCAAAAAATTTATTGAAGATTTTTATAATCACTGGAATCATTTAAAGCTCTTCTAACAACTTCTCTGTTTAAACTGCCCCTTCATGAACTTGAAAAACATTATTGATAATTTATTTTGGTCAATATTGGTGTTCGATTCTTAAATAAACAGGGGGGCCAAAAGTCAGTACCCATACGTTGGGTCTTATACCACTGCCGTGTTTTATATTTGAGAGTTGTTGCTTTGCAGATGGCATTAAACTAATTACAACACTACAAATCTATTACATTTATTGAGAATTATGTAATGTAACGTGATGGAAATATTTTAAGCGGGCATATCCTGTCCAAACCCAGGATGCACGACATGAAGAATTCGTTATAACTTTGTATGAAACGCATTAATACTGTACCTACTTGTTCGAGGATTCCGTCACGAAAATTTGAAAATTCGATTTTTGGGGGCCACACCCATTCAACATTGAATTGCTTATACTGGTGTTTGTGAACATGTTAGATACTCTGTTGTAACATATTGCAATAGGTCATTTAAACCGGAATATACTAATATAATCTGAAAAGATGGTGCGAAACGGATTTAAAATGACGAAGTTATCAAGCAATTTGTTTATCTCGTTAGCAAAATTGATTGGGTACTCAATGATTACCCAACTACGACACCGTAATTGGGCTCTCTACACGATTCCCATAATGCGGATCTAGCCTCAACCCAATCACCTGATCACACGTAATGAACAAACTCGTTTTGCTTCATATCTCGGTCATCTGAGAAGCTAGAACTCTCATTTTTTCAGGACAAACGTAATTTAAGGGGCCAAACACCAATCAATACAATTTGGCTCGATCGGACTATCCAAACTATCAAATAAATGCGAAAATGAACCTTCATTTGAAATAAATGAACACGAATATTTTTCGATTTGACAAATAACTCGAACCAGTGGTGGTAGTAAGTCATACCAGAAAGAATTATTTCAATTGGGCACTCAGTGACTGAGCTATTAGGGCCAACGTATGGGTACTGACTTTTGGCCCCCCCCCCCCCCCCTGTATATTTAAGTATCATTTTCTGTCATTAGACTAGGCGATATATTTTCAAGCATACTTTACCAGTCCTTATCTTACTCGAGTACTTTTCTGGGATGTTTAGATTAAACACTGCTGAGTATTTAAAGTTTTATCTTAAAAGTGGTGTTATTAAACTTCAATTTATTATATCGGGTCTCAATAAGAGGTCTTGACTGCCTAGGCATCAAACCTTGGCAATCGGTAAACTTCCTCTGGCCCGGGATCAGCTGACCCTAGGGACCAGAGGGTAAAGACGTAGAGACTGAATGTATCTACAAAAGTGGTTGTTCTTACAAGAGACAGGGCTTGCAATGCAAGGGAAGAAAAATGGGAGAAACAATCACAAAGTGCATATTATTTATATATAATTTATTCTTATTATTATTTATTATTATAATTATTTACTGTATACGTACTTTTCTATAGTAAAGATTCTGCATAAACCTAAAATGAATTTACTCTCCGTAAGTATGTCTAAAAATTTCATTGAAAACAAACTGAACGAAGTTTTACTGCTCAGAACCTATCTGGGGTAGTGGGTTAACATACCATGTTACCTACATGAGTCATGACACTGAATGAAACTTTTGGGAAGCTTTTAATTAATTCTGTGTGGTGAATTTAATTAAATAGTCGGTTTAGATGGCCGGGCCGGGGTTTAATTTTATAGTTAACTTAAGGCAGAAATTTATAATTTATTCACAGCAACGAACGAACAGTAGGGGTCTATAATTAGAGATTATTATAATTATTATTATTATCCTATGAACATACTAAGATCTGTTTAATTTAGTTTGCAAAAGTTGTGTAACAATAATGAATTCGTTGTAAGCGTTTGGGCTGGAGGTAGCAGTGTGAGAGATGTTAAAATATACGGGCCCATTATATCGCAGTTTACTGCATTTTTATTCAGTCGCCACGACACCACGTTTTATACATACAGTTCAAGCGACCAAAAGTTTTGAATTTTTGAAGCTTCCTAATTTCGATGACATGGCCAAGAAACAAGTTCTGTGATACTGGAGAGATACGATGTTACACGCTAGAGAAACAGTAAATTGACATCAACTTTAAATAAAACTTTTGTTAAAATTTATAAAAATATACAGTAAAGAGTAATTCCAAAAGTGCAGACAGATATCCAAGAAACCGAAGGCCTTCAACCAATAATTGGAAACAAGAATTCTCTTGTAGGAACGTTAAAATGTTTCTTAACATTCCACTGGGATATGAATTGACATAATTTCTAACAATAGAAGTAGAGCCGGTGATATGAAAATTGTTCTTCAGAGCAAAAATTTCACTTTCAATAAAACTGAGAAAGGTATATAAATGTACACACCTGCGGCACAACGGTTATTATAGCATTAAAATCGAGCTCTGCACTTCAATCTTACTCTGACCAAATTGTATTCGTACCCCAAACCCTAATTATAACTTCATAAAACAGAAACAGCTATATACCCATTGCTTTTCGTTTTGTTAAAACGTACAAAACTTTATTTTAATAAACCTAACATATCATTTAACGGGCACAGACACAGGTTAACGAAACTTCAACTGGATAATATAACATATCTTAACAACCTGGCCACCGTGCAATGCACGTGCACGCACTCGAGCGCACACGCGCATTCGCGAGCCATCTATTACATTCATCATCTCCAGTTAATTACAAATTATAATAAACCTTATACAAATAATATTGCCTAAATTTTTGCATCGTACTGTTATAATAGAATAAACGGATCTAGGCCGCAGTAATTTATAAGAACCACATTGTTACACATTTAAAATGAGATACACAACCTATATATCCAAACTATATATGTTGCTAAAACGGTGCAGCTTATATTTCACGGGTATACAACCTAACATAGAACTGCATTTTAGCATACGGTTTGGATGTTCGGTTAACTTGAGCAATAACTTAACTTACTTATTAAGTTATTAAGCTGATACAACTGAAATAACTTCCTATATCCTAGGCTGCTTTATAGCCCTACATAGATTATCATCCATTGTAACCTAAGTAAAGCTCAGCATCAAATATATATTATCATATCGAGACTCTTCTTCTTCGAACTACCAATTGCTTAATTACATATAATAATATAGTGTTGTTATCACCACTCAATATTACAAAACTGCCTACTAACCCTGGTTGTTTTTCATATGGAGATCACGTGCCATCACGTCACGTGCTATCACGACACGTGCTATCACGACACGTGCTATCACGTCACGTGCTATCACGACACGTGCTATCACGACACGTGGTATCACGACACGTGGTATCACGTCACGTGGTATCACGACACGTGGTATCACGACACGTGGTATCACGACACGTGCTATCACGACACGTGGTATCACGACACGTGCGATCACGTCACGTGCTATCACGTCACGTGCTATCACGTCACGTGCTATCACGTCACGTGCTATCACGTCACGTGCTATCACGACACGTGGTATCACGACACGTGGTATCACGACACGTGGTATCACGTCACGTGATATCACGACACGTGCTATCACGTGCATCATCGTGCGATAGAAACTGTAAATAGAGACTGTGGCGTAAAAGTCAAGCTATAAAATTTTGATCTCCAGAGTTGCTCATTTAATTTAATTAGCCAAAATTAGTTCAGTTAGAAATTTAGGAATAGGAAGAGTCATTCTGATAACTCAACTTAGAAAACATTTAATTACAGACATTGTAGGAATGTTAAAGTCTTCTGATTTTAAGGCAGTTATTAAAGTTATTGTAATAAATAAAAATTTGGCCATGAATACGAAACATGTGCCGCCACATTCCACAACATGTGCCGCCACATTCCACAATTTAGTTCCCCACCAAAGTAGAAGACGTCATAATGTGTTATGTGTGTAACTTTAAGGCCACTTTATTATAAAACCAATGGCTATATTCAACTAACAATAACTTATTCATATTGGTAAAAGTGAAGAAACCAACGATATTTTAAGCAAAAACAATGTCATTTATTTGGCGTATCAAGCTCTCTAGAGCTGAGCAGTTGGAGACACGATTGTGTGTCTGTGATTATCCTGCCTTCAAGTGCATCCCTTGCGCATGATTAATGGAGAGTGCCGCTACGCACAACACGTGATTGTAATCTAGAGAATTACATGACCCGACATTTGGTGTTCTTAGTCTGGGTCCTCTGTGGCGGAACTTTCTGTAACCTTTTATCCATGATAGCCTGAAATAATAAACCAGGTTATTATAACATACAACTTAGTTTATACAGTCAGAGGCCAGAGCATCTAGAACTTGCTATTGTTTGTAGGTATAATATTTATTTCGTATTTTAGTCGCCAACAGTAACAACTGAAATGAAAGATATCGTGCGAGCACTCAGCAAGTTGATTTAACTTATCGAATACAATGCCATATAATACTCATATAAGACAAGTAACATACAATAAAAACAAAATTGTATTTTATACCCACAATCAATTCATATTTAGTTCAAATATTTCAAGTCAAAATAACCATTTCACAGAAGTGGTTTTATTATAATAAAATAATTTGTGATATGTGTACAAGTGACAAATTAATAAATTAATTTACACTAAAAAATGTACAAAAAATACACAATTTTTACTTTGCAACACTGGTTCAGCAGGTTTGATATCATATAAGTTTAATATTGATAGACATCATATAATATTGATAGACATCATATAAGTTTAAGGTTTTCAACATTTTACGGATATGCCATTATATGGTTGATAGATTAAGAACTGACATGGCCGATGTCAGAGTACTTACCCCTATCAAGCTGACAAAAGCCTCCACAATGTTGTGTCCCACCCTGGCAGAGGTCTCGATGTATTTCAATCCTGAAGAGAGTTATAAGTTACTGTGATGAGTTCTATCTAATACATATGTATACCCCGAACTCGGCACTCACGTTTTAACATTTATTTATATAATTACATTTACGTAAAAATTGAAAACAGTATTGATTACATTATTAATTAGTAATAAGTCATAATGATGTTAATCTAATGACCTCCGTCATCAATTAAAACAGTAGCTCAAACAATAAACATATGGTTACAATGTAACCATATGTTTATTGTTTATGCATTAGAAATATGCACGATTTTCAAATTCAACATGGAATTATATTAACTGGGCGGCGCTCGGCATGTCACTCCGCCATATATGCATGCTTATAAACAGTAAAGACTGGGGTCCCCATGCCACTCCCCAGGTGGTATGGAATATGATATAATACGCCATCACGGATCGGGAAATTGAGCGGCCATCCACATAAAAGAAAAGCGGCCGCATTTCTTGTTTACATGTCAAGTTGAATTATTTAGTGATCAAATATTGCTTGATCATTTAGCATATGTTTAGTGACAGTAAAGTAGTTAAATAGCTTCTTTAGAAACTTTTGTAACAAACAGGACGATTAGGCTCGCTTGAGATTATCATGTTGTTTCAACAATACGATCATCTCAAATGTAAGGATTTGCAGGAAAATGGGGCTAGCAACAAGTGACAGGGCAGGAATATGTTAGTTTTTCACAAATGAAAGTTCATTATCGCTTGCAGACTAAATAAATGTGCAGATTACAGCACTGTATCATGGCAAGACAAGCTCATGCGGTGTTTTATCCCTTTTCCACAGAGATTCTTATAAAATCCCTAGTTGTCCTCGGAACCGGCACTATACATATCATTAAAATCTGCATGCACATTGTCTTAATCTGATTCGCTGCTTTAGCAGACTTACCGAGACTTTCTGAGAAAGAGCAGGCACTGTCGTAGGTAACTTTCCTCGTTTCACTAAGATCGTGTTTGTTTCCGACCAGGAGCACGCAGCTCTGCAAATGTTTCCAATATTAATTCTGGGCTTATTTTATTATTTTATGGGACCCCAATATTGGAATTCGTGAATGATGGGTATTTATTCTTAAATCAGTTGATAGAGCTATAATTCGAATGTTTGATTGGCAATTTGTGTTATATACTGAACCTCTTGCTGATAGTGATATTTTTAATTTGGAGGGCCCGGTACGTGGCCCTCGATCCTAATCTTAAGCGCAAGCATAGAAGTATAACATCCGTAACTGTTACAAATCTATTATATTCGCATTTTATGTAGTTAGACTATATAAATAAATTTAGACTTTTAGGGGTTTGGTAACTATACTAAACGACGCCTTATATCTTTATATGACGTCTTTTTGACGGATTTTATTTATATTAGAAACTATGGGACCAATCCTTAGTGGTAGTTTAAGTTACTCACTGATTCACTAATATTCCTCTCCACTTGTTGGTGTAGTTCCTTCAACATTTCGAAGCTCCCTTCGTCGGTGATTGAAAAAACAATCATAATACCGTCAGCTGAAATGATAAATATTTGTATCTTTAAACTTTTAAAAATATTATAAGTTAATCTAAGAAGTAAGAAGTCGTAAGATGACGCATTATCAACCAAGAATAGGATAATAACTGGATTCACACAGTCCCAAATGTTTTATGTATTAGTGTTTTTGTAGTCACACCACATCAGGTTATTACGGGCAAACGATTTCAATCCTAGTTGATCGAGCGGAGCACCAGAATTTGGGTTGGAATTTGAGTTTTAAATGATGTCACATGTGTGTGATTGATAAATCTGTGAACGATAAGTCCGTTTTCAGGATTGTGTTCATTTTCATCATTAGAATTAGATTCCAACTATTATACCCGCTACATTAATCACCCTGATCCAAACAGATCAGAATTCTTACGATGTAATTGGACAATAGAACTGTTTCTACGAAATGATAGAGAACAATAACAGGTCACTAACTATTATACTGTGGTCTATCTAATTTTGAGACACGAAAAACAACGTACAGATCTAAATATAATTTCCGCTTGAAAACGACTGATATCTTGATGACATCTTACAGGTTTAAAAAACCTTAACTTGTTGATATATATTTTGTATGGCAACGCAACGTGAGATTTTAATTGAAGCTGGTAAGGATAATTTGTGTGGAGTGCCAAGATTCCAAGAAAGTTCAAGATTCTACAGCCGAAGTAGTCCCTGCAAGCAGATAAAATTTCTCAAATCTTCCGCAGCAACTACTTTCTGCAAACATCTGCACAGAGCAATTAAAGTTCCCCGACGTGGAATACTTCCGTCGTATAATCCCGGACTTTTCTAATAAACTGTGTAAACGTAATAATATATCGTAGCATACAACCCTTGAGAAATCTAGCTTTGCATCCTGAAAGCCCAAACGAAGCATGGAAATCCACGCCTTCTCGTCACACGTCAAGAATCCCGATGTTTTAATTTTACACCGGTTGCCAATTTACCAGTTTACCAATTTGAGCAATTAATCAAAATGTGAGAAAAATAGGTCTGATAGACATCTTGAAAATGGTTGCGATGATGATGGTTCTTATTTTGGTTTGACATAACAGTAAATAAAAACAGACTGTTCCAGAAGTTTGGGGGGGGGTCCAACTACAAAAAATACGAATACGAATTTCAAATTTTAGGGGTGCGTTCGTATTTTTTCGTATTTTTTCGTATTTTTTACCAACATTTTTTACTCTAAAAATAAAGAAATATCCCAGAGAAATGGATCTATAAATCCATTGGTTTTCTCCGTTGTATCTTTGTATATTACACTGTATGACATCACAGAAGATAAATAAGATGCAGCAAAACTGGTGAACAAATGAAAATACAATACTACGATTACCTACTAATTAATAATTGGAGTTTAGCTGCTTGTCAATCTCAAGTAAGCGTATTTATGTCAAAATCACTGGGATATTATCACAATTCAGATATTATTATGTATTAATTGTGATTTATAAAGGTCTTTGAATGCTACATCACAGAATATTATTGCCAAATACGCATTACGCATACTTTTAAAGTCTGGTAAGTTGGGTTCCTAAAACGAAATTTAATCAGCTTCGGCTGAACCCATTATATATTATAATATATAGACTATATATGGCACATTCATATTAATATTCTATCAGATCTTTCCTTAGATAAACTTATTACACAAAGTAGTCATGGTTATAGTAACAGCTTAAATTCCTTAGGATTTAAATAGAGAAAAACTTCAAATTCTCTTAGTGATCTTCAAAACTTCTTTTGATAGATAAATCTTACAATCTACATCAGACTTCACCCAAACATGATAGTTCTGATGGGTAGAACAAAAGGAGTTAGTGGGTACACGGCAGACAGACGACCTGTCAGCCTTGCTGAATATATGCGATGTTGACATGAACAGAGCCTGCCCGCGGAACTTGACAGCTTGCTTGAATCTTTCTTGTCGAACCAGCCCTTGATACCAACAGATACACGTTTACAGTCTTTTCCAAGCGATTCGCATGGCCGAGAAAGTGACACCCTGGCGATACTGTAGCCTTTGATTCTCCTTTGGCGTGTATGACCTGCCATTGATGACCGACCGTCGTTCATGAACTTCTCAGCAGCAGTATCAACATGGTACCAACGGCCGTCGGTTGTGAGAACTCCAGTTGACTGGTTATAAATCTCCATTTCATCATCATCATCATTGGGGGCCTCAAGCTCAGCCTCTTCCCTGTCTTCATCATCAACTAGAGTGTAACAGTCGGGTTCAGTAGGTATATCGAGTTCGCACCCGGACAGCTTTGTGTGAGCACGAATCATATCCTTCCCCATGTCGATGCCTTCCCTGAGTGCTTTCCTAAGTTTCTTGAGGCTGGTGTCTCTGCCCTTGTACACCCGTGTTTGGTTGGGATTGGGAATCAGTGTCTTCCCCCGAGTGTGTGCAACGTCATTCGCCACAAGATGGCTGCCTTTCGCATCAAGCTCAAGGCACCGATTTTTCCTTGCTCTGGCGTCCTTTGTGGAAGCCAGTGCGAAGGAAAGCAAACAATTGTTCGCAAGAGTCGGAAACAAAATGCCAGGGAGCAATATCACAGTCCTTGTACTTAGTTGCACATTGGACTAGATAATGAACCATCCCTTCAAGGCCAGTTATAAGGTCCTGGAACGTTGGAGCCGTGATAAAGTGTTTACCTTTAGCCTTCCGCTTTTCGCAAACATGATCCCCTGAAGTGGAGGAGGAGGACTGATGAGGAAAAAGAAGAGGAGGAGGACTGAGTAAGACTGAGGAGGAAGGGGAGGAGGAGGAGAAGGAGGTGAAGGAGGAGGAGGAGGACTGAGAAGGAAGACGACCATGAGGAGGACGACCATGAGGACTGAGGAGGAGGAGGAGGAGTAAAAAGATGATGACTAAGGACGAGGAGGACTGATGACTGAAGACGAGAGCGAGGACGAGGAGGAGGACGACTGATAAGAAGGGGAAGGAGGAGGAGGAGGAGGACTGGGGAAGAACTGATGAGGAGGAGGTCTTAAGACGAGGAGGACTGAGGACGAGGAGGACTGAGAAGGAAGACGAGGACGAGGAGGACGACTATGAGGAGGACTGAGGACGAGGACTGAGGAGGGGGAGGAGAACTGGGGGGATGACTGAGGAGGAGAAGGACTGAGACGGACTGAGGAGGAGGAGGAGGAGTCAAAGGATGAGGACTAAGGACGAGGAGGACTGAAGACGAGAGCGAGGACGAGAAGGAGGCCGACTGATAAGGAGAAGGAGGAGGATGAGGAGGACTGGGGAAGGACTGATGAGGAGGAGGTCCGGGGGAGGACTGAGGAGGACGAGGACGAGGAGTAGGAGGAGGAGGAGGACTGAGGAGGAGAAGGAGGAGGGGGAGGAGACTGAGGAGGAGGACTGGGGGAGGACTGAGGAGGAGGAGGACTGAGGAAGGAGGAGGAGGACTGAGAAGGAAGACGAGGACGAGGAGGACGACTATGAGGAGGACTGAGGACGAGGACTGGGGAGGGGGAGGAGAACTGGGGGCATGACTGAGGAGGAGAAGTACTGAGGACAACTGAAGAGGAGGAGGAGGAGTAAAAGGATGAGGACTAAGGACGAGGAGGACTGAGGACTGAGGACGAGAGCGAGGACGAGGAGGAGGCCGACTGATAAGAAGGAGAAGGAGGAGGAGGACTGGGGAAGGACTGATGAGGAGGAGGTCTGGGGGAGGACTGAGGAGGAGGAGGATGACTGAGGAGTAGGAGGAGGACTGAGGAGGAGGAGGAGGACTGAGGAGGAGGAGGACTGAGGAGGAGGAGGACTGAGGAGGAGAAGGAAGAGGGGGAGGAGACTGAGGAGGAGAACTGGGGAGGACTGAGGAGAAGGAGGAGGACTGAGGAAGGAGGAGGAGGACTGAGGAGGAGGAGGAGGAGGACTGGGGGAGGACTGATGAGGAGGAGGACTGGGGGAGGACTGAGGAGGAGGAAGAGGACTGTGGAGGAGGACTCAGGAGGAGGACTCAATAGGAGGACTGAGGAGGAGGACTAAGGACGAGAACGAGGACAACTATGAAGAGGACTGAGGAGGAGGACTGATGAGGAGAAGGAAGAGGAGAAGGAGGAGGAGGAGGATGAGGAGGACGACTCAGGAGGAGGACGACGACTCAGGAGGACGACTCAGGAGGAAGAAGACTTAGGAGGAGGAGAAGGAGGAGGAGGAGGAGGACTGGGGAAGGACTGATGAGAAGGAGGTCTAAAGACGAGGAGGACGGAGGACGAGGAGGACTGAGAAGGAAGACGCGGACGAGGAGGACGACTATGAGGAGGACTGAGGACGAGGACTGAGGAGGGGAGGAGAACTGGGGGGATGACTGAGGAGGAGAAGGACTGAGGATGACTGAGGAGGAGGAGGAGGAGTAAAAGGATGAGGACTGAGGACGAGGAGGACTGAGGACGAGAGCGAGGACGAGGAGGAGGCCGACTGATAAGAAGGAGAAGGAGGAGGATGAGGAGGACTGGGGAAGGACTGATGAGGAGGAGGTCTGGGGGAGGACTGAGGAGGAGGAGGAGGAGGAGGATGAGGAGGAGGATGACTGAGGAGGAGGAGGATGACTGAGGAGGAGGAGGATGACTGATAAAGAGGAGGTCTGGGGGAGGACTGAGGAGGAGGAGTTCAGGAGTAGGAGGAGGAGGAGGACTGAGGAGGAGAAGGAGGAGGGGGAGGAGACTTAGGAGGAGGACTGGGGGAGGACTGAGGAGGAGGAAGACTGAGGAAGGAGGAGGAGGACTGAGGAGGAGGAGGAGGACTGGGGGAGGACTGAGGAGGAGGATGAGGACTGGGGAGGAGGAGGATGAGGAGGAGGACTCAGGAGGAGGAGGGGGAATACTTAAGAGGAGGAGAAGGAGGACTGGTGAGAAGGAGTTCAGGAGTAGGAGGAGGAGGACTGAGGAGGAGAAGGAGGAGGGGGAGGAGACTTAGGAGGAGGAGGAGGAGGAATACTTAAGAGGAGGAGAAGGAATACTTAGGAGGAGGAGAAGGAGGACTGATGAGAAGGAGGAGGAGGACTGAGGAGGAGGACTCAGAGGACTCAGGAGGAAGAAGACTTAGGAAGAGAAGAAGGAGGAGGAGGAAGACTCAGGAGGAAGAAGACTTAGGATGAGGAGGAGGAGGAGGACTCAAGCCAATGATAAGCATGTGTCACGATACAAATGTACTTTACTATACATTTAAGGTGCAGTGTACTATAGTGATATTATGGTATGTTTAAAGACCGGACCACAAAATATAACCCGGCACCTAGTGTTGTACTAATACATAATAACAAGTAACAGGGATAAAATCAATGAGCAGAAACAATCGATTTCACAAGAGGCGAAAGCACTCGGGTCTGGGAGTACATGATAACTCCAACTAGTAGTGAGCATACTAGCCCCTGCAGTGGAAAAACACATAAAACATACTAATGAAATGTCCAATTGGTTCGTTTTCTCATCACAAAATATATCATACGTATTATGTAGGGGTTCTGGTTGAATTATATCACTTCTGAGAGGTTTTAGAGATCGATTCTGTAAATTTCTCAATTTTGGCCTCATCAACCCTCATATCGGAAATCGGGTTGTACCCCCCCACCCCCCCCCCCCCCCCCCCGGCCCCCCCAGTTAAATGGACCAATTTCCAATAAAACATAAAATTGATCAGAATATATCCCAAATTTTAATTTAAAAAACGATAAAGAGGGAGCGACTTTCAAAATTTTGTGTGAGTTCATCGTTTTTGTTGTTGCACCCCCAGGTTTTATGTATGATACATGATGGTTTACATATTATTTTAATGTTTCTTCACTGCTAAGTTGAGCTTAGATCTGATTAATTACGAAGATGTGTGATCTTCTATTTATCAAAATGACGATTTGTAAAAAATACGAAAAAATACGAAAAAATACGAATACGAATTTGAAATTTTAGGGGTGCGTTCGTATTTTTTGTAGTTGGACCCCCCCCCCCCCCCCCCCCCCCCCCCCCCCCAAGTTTGTATTTAAATATGAATGAAAATCCAGTACACATAAATGACAGGACCCCCAGTTTTGGCAAAATTAGAGTGATCCCGGTCCCAGACAAATTCTGCTACCTGCTGTCTCAGTGATCTCATCCAAAGACCAGAGATCGATCAGTTGATTTCCAAATCGATGATCACGATCACAAAAAAGGCGGCTTTTTTAAAGTATGAACGATGAATGATTGACACAGCACAGAAGTACAGCTAGTAGTAATTGTATAATCCTTATTCCAATTTTAAATGAATAATATCCTTCAACTCCTAAAAGCACTGACTCTGATATTTGTGTGGTAAACTAACCTTGGCGGATCATGTTGTCCCTCATTCCCCAGTACTGGGAGAGTCCTGCCGTGTCCAGTATCTCTACTTTACACAATCTTCCTCGGACCTCTATTTCCTTGTGATCCTTGCTGTATTTCGTCGGAATGTATTCGTCCGAAAACTGTAAGATACTTGGGTTTAACCAACAAAAAACTATTACACAAATCACAATATGACACGACGTAAAATAACTTATCAAGTACTTCTACAGTAATGATCATAAAATATTACATCCAAAATATATGAGCAGTATATTAAATAACCAGTTCACCTCGTTAAGGGTCCATTTCTTTATGATGCATGTTTTGCCAACACTTGCTGCTCCTATCAGAATCACCTGATAGTCGTCCGATATATTGGCAGGACATGCCATGACTCCTACTAATGGAAGTAATTACAATTATATAATAATGTAATGTAACGTAGAACGTAATAAAACAATAACATTAATTTCTGAATTGTGATATATTTGAAACTAAATACATATAATGGTCTAATGAAATAAGTTCAAGCACAATCAATTGTCTAATTCTGTGTGATAAAAGACAAAACATATTAGAAATGTATTGAATGATCTCTTAGCAATCGGTCAGCCTGATAATAATAAAAATAGGAGGGCGAAAAATACTACGAGGGGCCTTCATAAGTCGCAAAAATAATTAATAGATGTGATCTGAACAACTTGCCCACAATTTCAGCTTGCAAATAGAGTTGAAACCTCACGATTTTTAGCAGGGTTGTAAAAAAAAGGAGATTAGAATTTAGGAAATTTAAACATAAATTTCCTCAAACAGAGCTTTCGACTAGCAGGTTTCTAGTAACTTATATGTGCGACCTATAAAAGCCTTTTATAAAAAATGGTAATAATAGAAAACATAACAAAAACGTTTGAGGAAAGTGGTCCAAAAATCGTAGCAGAGTTCAAGCAACAAATGCCAGATAGTAACAAAATTACGTCAATACTATTTCTGTCTTAAAAGATAAAGTGAAAGTTTGGTGATAATATAACACCTGACACTTATGAGTTCTTTATAAGTTCAGAATCAAGCTTGTGAACACGAAAAGCATTTTAGCCCAGAAGTGCAACAGTTACGAGGTTCATTGTTTTTCAGCCCTTCAGATTGGTGAAGAAATATTATGTTTAATACAACTCAGGAGTTTTGTAATTGCAGTAAATTCAAGCTCTTACTCTGAATATCATATTCTACTCATCAAAAAATTAACAAGGCAAATGTTTGAAATTTCATTTTAAACAACAACAAGTATTCAAGCAGTCAGGGAGCTAGTGAGCCATGAGGTCCCCCTAATGTATTACCAGCCAGGTACAGGTAACCTGGGGTCCATTAAAGACTATTTCAACAAGTCTTACAATGTTTTATATATTTAAGAGAACTCATTTCCAATCAAGTTATCGTCAACTGTCAACTTGGCTGCAGTATTCTGTCCGTATGGTGCATAATTGTCCTCCTGTGCCTCCGTCTTCCTGTCGCTGTATTCTGTCAAACCTGTCCCATACTTCAAGCAAATTTATATTTGACTTTAAATCAACTAATGTCATGTTGAGTTCAACTTATATATAGTAGTACCAATACCAAATACCTTAATATAATGGATTATTTTAAATAATTAACTGATTATTACTAAACATTCAATTTTTCTAACGACCAACTTATACATATTCAACGTTCCACATGCCAAATCTAAATTCGATAATTAACTTCATATTAGTGCTGCGTGCTGATAAATGTCCTGGGAATCAATCCACCTACCTAGTGACGATAATATATTTTTGTGTTCAGCTGGTTTTAGGCCTGTGTGTGCCCCAAAGGTGGTAAATCAGGTGCTAGTAAAGCTCTTACAGGCAACTAGCTTCTTTTGCCAACTGCTTTTGGTTTAAGTACTAACCTACGCGACGTCTGGAACCAGAACAGGTATAATTGTAATATCCCATGAGGTCAGCATGCTAAATTATCTCGTTAAATTTCATTTTCCTTAAAAACTATTTAGAGTTTAGGCCCGGCACCTCGAATTTTTGGCACTTGAGTTGCAGCCAGCAGTAAAAGAATTGAAAATAAATTCCCTTTACATGTTTCCGATCAGAAAATTTTCGGTTATATTGACTGTCATGTTGAATATTTAATAAAATTTGTTTTCGTATTTTTTTGTAGAGTTTTTAATATGACGTAGAATTATAGAGCTCTAGATTGGTATGGCCTATGTCATGTGCTCGTTCTAGACCTATTCAATGTAAAATACTGGGTAAATATGAGTCTTATGCTGATAACTCTGTTAACCCGCATGTCAAACCATGTGGAAAGTGTGTCCTGCATATCTGTGTGATCTAGTAACATTTGTTAGTTCGAGTAGCAGAAGAACTTCCTCCTTACACCTACCTGTTGGATCTACAAGATCGCACCCAAGAGCGTTTCAGACTGTTGCTCCGAAAATCTGGAACCAACTACCAATTGAAATTAAGACTTGTTCTGATGTTGATCTGTTCAAAACATTATTAAAAACTCACCTGTTCAAGAAAAGTTATGGCATGAGCGATTAATTGACAGTATAACTTTATGTTATTTGCTTAAACTGTTTAGGATGCAACCTAATGTCATGATATTTTTGAACTTATTAGCAATTAGACTGTTAGCTCGCTTCATAAGCATGTCATCTTCGTTCCAAAACTTTTTATGTCCTATGCATACACTCCTTGATAGTTATCTTGATCTAATATCTTTGTTTCACACAATAGAGCATAAGTTTTGTGGTTTATCCACTGGGCTTAGATTTTGTGTTTAAGCAACCAAATTTTATTATTATTTATTATGCATGCGCGTTCAAAGGACCATGAACCTGAAAGTTCTTTTTATTTGTTAGTAGAGCATCTTGGGCTATAATGGTTCTAACAAGTTTATTATCGGATGTTTACTTATATTTATTATGATATTATTATTCATTGTAATAAAATGTAAATTTTGTTTTCCTAAAAATTTTGATTTCCTAGTATCATCTTTTCTTTCTTCCAATGTGGACTGGTCTTCTCTTAACAATTCCAAAAAAAATGACCTAAATTAACAATGGCAGTGCAAGTCTGTTATTGGTTGAAAACAAATGCTTTATTCAGTGGTCTATCTAATTAACTTTGCCAAACGGCTGCTTCAAGTTCAGAGCTGTGAAAGATGTGTAGTAGATTAAGTGAATTATGTCACATAGCAATAACAGTATAAATATTGCTGGGTACCCATTCTTACACACCAACTAGCTCTAAAAATTAAGAGAGAGCTCTAGGGTGACTAACAACTGCAGCCAATTAGATATAATTCCCACACATGCACAGTTAACAGGGCACCCAATCAGCTGTAATCACAAAACAACAACTTCACCCAAATGCTTTTAGATCAAATATTTAGGGTTGGATGAGGGCTTGTCTCCGCTTGGATCTCATGCTTGAGGAGCATGCTTCATGACTGCTTGTTAGCTCAGATCTTGTGCCTCGAAATGCACTTGAGACCTTATCACCTATTAGTACCTCATTTTCTTGTTCTCAGTTGTGACAAAATTGTAATGAGCAATACTTAAAATTATTATGATATGTTTGATTTTTTTGTTAGGGTTCGTTCACATATTACTTAATCAGCTGAGGGGGATTGGGTTCCCAAATGATTACAGTTGATTATGGGGTTTTGGCTGTTGATTACGTAGTCAACAATTTTTTAATCCTCTAGAATAATAACAATTTGACAATATTTTAATTCAAATTCCACTCAATTTCACTCTGATAGTGATCAATAGGAATGGATTGGGTATCCGGCTGCTAAAGTAAGTAGTTTGGAAGGTGCTTGGCCGGATATCATAATGATTTTGGCTCATCATAATGATCACATAGAAAAAAGTGTTTTCCAGGGAAATAAGTCAAAAGGGGGGGGGGGGGAGGGGGGAGGGCCATGATTACCTAATTTAGCTGTCAAGAGGGGGAGGGGTGGGTTTTGATTACAGTTGATTACAGAGGGGGTAAAAATTGATAAAATATTGATTATGTAATATGTGAATGACCCCTTATTGTTCGTCATTAAAATTTTGTAGATGGCCCCAACGTTAATGTGCTATATGTTAGTTCAGCCGAATTAATTAAATTATATATCCAAGTCTATTTTTCTAGTTTATTTAGTTGTCATCTGGCGACACAGTATGCAACTTATATTGCAGTACCATTTATGAATTAGTTATAATATATCAAAATAATGTCATTGTAATCTTGCATGGCTGAAATGTAACAATTGATTTATGTATGTAATAATTAATTGAATTTTAAAATAATACAAAAAAACGTTTCTATACAACTTAGATGCTTCAAATAATACATTAAGAAGATATGGTGGTAAGAGTATCGAATTATGGTAGTCTACACCAAGTGTACCAACGGACAGAGAGGCACTCAACTCCTGATCCTCATTCCTCATTCCCACGACCCTGATAACCTGGTGGCTGAGAAATCAGGGTTCAGAACAGAATGGAAGCAGTTAGCTGCTGACCAACAGTCAACACCTCTCAGCCACCCATTATCTCCTCGCCGAAACCCTATCTACATGTCACGGATTGTTCACAAGACAACAGTGTGTAAGATTCCCCTGAGAGAATGCTGCATGAGGATTAGGGAGTCGTGTCACACAACAAATTTTAAACAATACCTCACTGAATATTCTCTGCTGAGTAAGCCATACTACTGACTAATCTCACGACACATAAAGCTCACATTCACTGAATCATCAAGCAAGTAGATTGTGGGAGTTCCATGTCATAAGACTAAACCAACTATTACCTCAATTCTCTAGTCTTTTCAGACCCAGAATCATCCACACTATCTGACTGAGGGGAATCAGAGGAAGGTCAACAGCCCAGCATCTTGAACTGCAAGACGTATCCTTCAACCTCATTCCCCAGAAGACGAGCTTTGAGGTCTCCTAGATTTGTTTATGTAAATTTTGTAGATATTTTACTGTACTATTTTATATTGTATACAATTTTACGGACGAAATGATCCCAGGGGGGACTCCCAACCCACCGCTTCGGCGGGTAGTTGATGCACCGATCACAAGCAAGAGCCACTTTGGTCAACTTGCTGTGAGGTGTCTCAGCTACATGGGTTGGGGGTCCCCCCTTTTTTTTTTTTTTTTTTTTTCCACACTATCTGACTTCTTTTGATGTCTGGGACTTCAACCCCAGATGTAGCTTTAAACGCTGTATTATGGGCCGAACGGTCAGCTGTTCATCAGGATTACACTGGCCCACGTCTTTCGGCCAGTAGCCAGTAGTCACTCCAGGTTTTGTTGTAGTGACCAAGCCAAAAAGTGTAGGAGCCTTTTTCATATGTTATCATCTGCTTAAAAAGGATAATCAAATTATAAATAATGCCATCTTCCACACAACAAGAAGGACCAACATGGGTTTTTCAATGGTATAGACTGGTTTTAGGCCAGCAGGAGCCTCACTTTCCCGCCTTCTGTCGTGTTTGCTGAATGAGTTATTCAACTCCTAGCTCAATCACTGACTGAATCATTTAAAATCCACATCAGCATGTTGTATCATACTCAGAAAGCAGCATTTGAACCCCTTGTCCTCTTGGCTACAGGAGGCTCAGAGCCAAGCTGCACCAAAGACATCAAGCGGGAAGCAGCCCAAATATTGAACAAAAGATGCCAACAATATTAGCATGCAAAGGGGTTTTTTTACAAGACATTGTTTCTTTCTACTTCGCAGTCTCCTCACATCATTGCAGTTAAGGGTGCGAGGGGAAGCTGTTAAGAAAGCTAATATTGCATTGGGTTCTTCCCTTTAACTGATCATGACAATCATATGATCGTTGACATTAAAATTCAAACAATATACACATAATATAACAATGACCCTATATAAAAATTCAATATAAAAATTCAATATATAAATTCAATATAAAAATTCAATAAAGATGTTAGAAAATTTCATAAAAACCCTTTGTGTAGTAGTAATGTAAAATTATTCAAACAATATACACATAATATAGCAATGACCCTATATAAAATCAACCCTTTAAGAATTCACAAATATCGAGCGCGCGGTTTTTGGAATTTCTCCATTATTATTATTCGATCTATTAATTAGATCGTAGTGCTCACGGCCTGTACTGCGTGAACGACAGAAATATGTTTTAAATTATTTTGCTTCTGAAATTTTGGCTCTAGTAATTAAGAAATGCGACATGTAATTGTAAGATAACAATTAAATAGATCCTGTGCGCGGCGCCTACAGCTGACCTACGAATTTCTGAACAATTGAAAATTGTGGCTGTGTGCGCGGCGTACTGTATATGTGTTTGAAATTGAAATTTGAATTTATTTATGAATATAACATTATGTATTGATTGTTTTGTGGTAAATAAAAATTTTTCTTTCCTTCAAAAAATTTTTCTTTCCTTCAAAAATTTCCCTTAACAATCAAAAATTACCCTTGGCCTTGTGGCTCCAAGTTAAGATCTAGACTGTTTATATCAACAATGTTTTTTTCGCACCTCTGTCTCCACGGAGAGAAATCACTGTTGTAAAGTAGTAATAGTAAAAGTAGCCAATTCAATTTGTTGGCTCCGAATTAATATCTTAATCTGATATTTTAACTATACTCCCACTTTTCATTCCTCTTTCTCCTCTAAAAACAATAATTGTGGTTCTTAATATAGATGTGAAAACTGGCCACGGGCCTAAATATTACATATCAATCAATTACAATTCATTAATATTACCAATATTAAAAACTATCGAAAATATTCAAAAAAGTATTCTCTAGCCAAAGGGCTCAATATTTAAATCTAAATCTTCAATATTGTCTGGTTTATATCGCAACTTGGGCCCTCTGTCCCCCCTTATCGAAATAACCGTTGTCTTTAATACCTCAAAGCGCAAGCGCTTTTTAAGATATGTAACTGAGTCTTTCTTTGTATCACGCGGTGACCCCCACGGTCGCTTCACTACGGTCTTCGACGCTACAGGGGGAGCCGCGCACTTCGTGCGCGGCGGGTCATACAACGTATGACAAGTCTTTCTAAGATATGTTGACGGATGTTACTCGTCTAAATTTCTTCGAAGTAGCGCGCGCCGCTTTCTTCTCGAAATGTTATGGCCCGATGGCAAGAGCTACGAAGTAGCGCGCGCCGGGTCAGATCATTAACAATGGTCAATAAGATATGTAACTGAGTTCTTAATATATAGGTCAAATCTTATTCATTACTATTATTTTTGGTACTAACCTTTTTTTGTTAAAATGTAAATTGCAAAAAACCTTGATTCATGATGTCAATCCTTCCTAGCTTGGCGAGGCCCAGTGGTGCATTGCACCGATTTAGGGTTGCGAGAAGATCGCGCTACAACAAAAAACCTGATTTTTTCACTCCTGCGCGCAGTGTTGTGACCTCCCTTCGTCGTAATTAGCTCGTATTCAGATTGAACAATTTTGAAGTTAAATAAATGTTGTTTCTTTTAGATTTGAATAAACAATAAGGATTTAGTCCGTAAGTAATTTGTCTACTAAATAACATTTTGAAATTATGAACAAAATTGGTAAAAATTTGCCATAGTTGTGACCAAAAAACTACGCGCAGAATTAGATATTTCTTCATAAACGCGTGAACATTTTTGAGTTTAACATTGAATATCTTAGCTCGGTTATTTTAATACTTAATTTTAAAGTATCTATCCGATAACTAAACATTTTATCTTTACGACAGTATAATTTTTTTTTGTATATTTGCTAAATTAAAAAAACAGTAGGAATAGAAACGTCGAAGGTCTTGCGTTTATTTCAGTCCCAAAATATACCCTAATCATAAACTTCATAAAACCCACTGAAAATGATGTCTACAGGCATATTAAGCCCTTACACCTTCCCAAATCATTTAGCAAGGATTCAGAGCCAGCTTTTAAAATTAGCTTTCGAATAACATTGTTAAGACATAAAACTATAAATAAATGAGTGCGTTTTTCTCTTTCGTCTCAACAGTTTCTTTTTCATTTTAACACTATATATTAGTAAAAGCAATCAGCGATCTTTATTCATCATTAAAGGAGTAAAATAATTGGTCCTCGTTAATGTTTAGTGTCTGATTACAGTTTCGGTCCGACCTCCACACCTGAAAAGATATTGGGGGTATTATCAGTTAAGTAAATGGAAAAATCATATTTGCATCATAAAACTATGAAAACATTGAAACTAATGTTGTTGAAGGCTCGCCTATTCGTTTAAGCGATCAAATAGTCAGTGCAAAGAACAGTTGAAGGCACCGGGAATGTTTCAAATAAATCCTCTGTCTACTATCAGACCACACACTCCACTATGCACTTCAATGTATCGTATAACAATGGCAGTTGAAATGTGTTCCCGCCATTTTAAAATCAAAAATGTGCGCAGCATCTTACGGGTTATGCGCCGTGATCAACGGTCACGGCGCAATGGTTATGCGCCGTGACCATTGATCACGGCGCATACACATTGCGTTTAAATTGTCGTATAAATGTCCAGCTTCTCTGTAAAATTTGGTTGACTCGACTAATTTAAAAATGTAATACTCTTTGTTTCATTCTAGTTTAATTGTATTTCTATTATGGTCGGAAAGAATTATAATGTTTTTTTCTTCTACTGGGCCACATTCAGCCTGTCATTCCGCCATATTTTCAACGGCTATGAACACTAACATATGAACACTTATATGAGCCTGGCCCCATGTAAGATGTTTCTTTGTAGTCAGCAGTATATTACTATTTCGGTTTTATAGTCGCATTTAATTCAGTAAATATTAATGGTTTCTTCACCTCTTCAAAGTTCAATGTAATTGGTTTGGAGGTCATTTGAAATAAGGAGGTAAAATAACTCACATAGCTTCCAGCAAGTTTCACGGATATAGTGATTGAGTTTCTAGTCAACCTAGCCTCTTTGCCTGACTGATTTCTTGTTCGGCAGGGTGACTGCTTAAACGTCAACTTCAACCTCTTCCACTGCATCGAATCGTACTAGTAGAATTTGTACCTGAAATATTACATTTAGTTTAGCGACCTTCACATGTGGGTCAAACTTAGTATTTCTGAAAGTTTCGCCAAATTTCATTGATTTCAGAGGGTGTGGCACGTCACTCTCTCCTTTTAGTTTTAATTATTGTCGCCATAAAATGACAACACTTTATACTAGGAACTCCAAAGTTGACAGACACATGACATTTGGTATAATAATTCAAGTGATTCCCAAAATTTCAAGTTGATTACACAATTTGGCCAAGTTATGGCCCATTTAAGGGCTAGCACGACAAAGGGGAACCCCAATTATTAGGGGGTCAGATTATATCACTGTTATGGACCAATGAAATAGACTGTCTTGCTAGACCTCTAAATAGAGGCTGAAATAGATTGATTAGTAATAAGAAATATACATCGTCATATTATAATCAATAATACATTACACCTTCCCTTCACAAATGAATTTACTTTTCAGGATAAAATCGAACGAAATCGAAATGATACGTGCGTGCTCCGCGCACTAAAATTACATAAAATGTTCGTTGAGATAAAACTTGTACACTAAAATCCCGTTTGGCGTCGCGCCCTACGTCAATGAATTACTAGTTTAAAAACAGAATTCCTGGATTACACTGTCATAATAGCGCTAAATAATCTCCTCAGGTCTATTATTGTTTCTGAACACCCTGGATTGCTTACAAAATTTTTTTTAAACAATTTAATGCTGTACAAAAGTATAAAAGTGTACTACACGTGTGCATAAAAAATGTGCTTTACAAAACAAACAAAAAAGTGCTTTACAATACATGCAAGATTCACGGGTTCACGAACCCGGTGTTTGCATTATACCTGATCTGAGGTTTTGCACTCAACCTGCCCGAGCGTCTAACTGGCTCCTGACCACTGATCTGAGTGCTAGATTGTGTCGGTTGGTTACTAGTCACAGCTGGCGCTCCTTCTCTACTTGGACCCGGCTGCTGCTGAACTGTTATCACAGGTTGTTCAATATTCCTCGGCTCAGTGTTTCTTTCTGGTATCTCAATTTGCTGCTTCTGTAACTCGATTACTGGCACTAACCGTTTCTTCATCGCATCTACATGTTTCTTTATGATCCTGCCCTTGTAGTTCACATCATACCACAGTGATTCTCCGTGTCTTTTTTCAATCGTTGCTGGTTCGTACTCTTTCCGAGTGTCCGGTCGAACCCATATTGTTTGTTTCTCCTCAAATACACGTTCGTTTCTTTTACTGTCAACAACTTTTTGTTCATTATCAACATCCAGTCGTTCCGCTTCCATCTGATCACTGGGTCTGAGGTGATGTAACTTAGATCGTAAAGTTCGTCCGTACATCATTACTGCTGGTGGTTGCTTAGTTACAGAGTGTGGAGTATTCCTATATGCCATTAGGAAGTTAGCGAGATTTAAATCTAAATCCTTAGACTTTTCGTACATCTTTTTCATCGCTGACTTAAAACTCTGGACAAACCGTTCGCAGCTTCCGTTACTCCTCGGGGAGTATGATGGGCACAAAACATGTCTTATCTGATTCTTCTTTAGGAAGTTCTTGAATTCTTCACTGATAAATTGTGGTCCGTTATCGCTGACTAGAACCCAAGGTACCCCTGTTCTTGAAAATACTCTTCTCATTGCTTTTATCGTAGCTGGCGCAGTAGTGTTATGAGACATCTTGATAACTTCCGGCCATTTTGAGTAAGTATCGTACATCAGTAACCAATAGTTATTTTGGAATTCTCCAGCGAAGTCCACATGTACTCGTTGCCAGGGTCTTGTTGATTTAACCCAGGGATGGTCGATGACTTTTGGTAACTTTTTCCCGTGTTTTTGGCAGGATGCACATGCTTTAACTAAAATCTCTATATCTTGGTCTATTCCTGGCCACCACACATAGCTTCTAGCCAGGCTTTTCATTCCAGTCATCCCTACATGTGTAAGGTGTAGCATCTTAAGAACCTCTGCTCTTAGTTTATGTGGAATGATTACACGATTTCCCCATGTGATACATCTTTTTTCAGTCGTGAGTTGGTTCTTTCTGTCGTACATGGCTTTCATCTCCTTGTGATCTTTGTCTATCTTTTCCGGCCAGCCATCTACAATGTACATCGCTATCTTGCTCAGAATAATGTCTTTGGATGTCTCCCGGGCAACTTCTTTTGCATCTATCAGTGCGTCCTCCATGGTCAAAGAAAATGCCTCTTCACATTCGTTTGGCTCGTCCACATGAATGACTTTTTTCGGGAATCTGGACATTACATCAGCATTAGCATGCTCTTTTGTATTTCTGTATACTATGTTATAATCGTAATTTTGTAACAGCAGTGCATATCTGGATAATCTGTTCGCCGTCATCTCTGGAATGCCTCTCTTAGGTCCAAATATATGTACTAACGGTTGGTGATCCGTCACTAGTTCAAAGTGTCTTCCATACAGATACATATGAAACCTTTTTATAGCCCAGACTATCCCTAAAGCTTCTTTGTCAATCTGGCTATATTTTTTCTCAGCATTCGATAATGTCCTTGAAATAAATTCAACCGGACGTTCATTTGTTCCATCATCATCTATGTGTGACAATACAGCTCCCAAACCCACGCTGCTTGCGTCTGTATCCAGCTTCAAACGTTTCAGCGGGTTGTAGAACGTCAATACTCTGTCAGAACAAAGTAATTTCTTTAATTCTTCGAAGGCTTTCTGTTCAGTCTTTGTCCATCGCCATTCAACTTCAGTCTTTCTCAACTCGTCCAATGGAGCGATTATTGTCGACAAATCTGGTAGATACTTGCGATAATACCCAACTGCTCCCAGAAATGCTACTAAATTTTTCACATTTTCAGGTGCCTGTACTTTTAACAGATCGTCTATCTTGCTGTTGACTGGTGACATACCATGCTTGTTCACCTTGTGTCCTAGATAAATCACTTCTTCATGCATCAGCTTAGATTTATTCAGTCTGCATCTGAAACCGTTTGCTTCCAGTCTTCTCACAACTTTATTCAGATTATCTAAGTGCTCTTTATCGTTCTTTCCTGATATTAAAATGTCGTCTATCCTACAGCAAACCATAGGTATACCCCGTAGTACATTGTCCATCAGATTCTGAAAGATTGCTGCGCTGCTATTTATTCCATACGGTAAGCGCGTCCACACATACTGTCCCATATGCGTATTCATTGTCGTGATGAGTTGATCTTCTGTTGATAGCTCCACGTTATTGTACGCTTGTTTTATGTCTATGACTGAGAACTTTTCTCCTCCCGAAACGCTTGCAAAACATTCTTCTGTAGTTGGTAACGGGTGATGTTTCATTTCCAATAGTTTGTTGACTGCTTTAAAGTCTCCACATATTCTCACACCGTCTCCTTTTTTCACTGGCATAACTGGAGTTCCCCATGGGCTCTCTTTGACTTTCTTCAAAATTCCTTGTTTCACCATGTTGTCTAACTCCTTTTCCAGTAAGTCTTTAATAGCAAAAGGTACTGCTCTTGATTTCTGCGTGACAGGTCTGCTTCCCTCCTTCAATTGGAGTTGCACTTTATAGTTCTTTACCAGACCTAACTCATCTTTGAAGATGTCACTAGACATTATCTCTTGTACTGTCCGTATCTTTGTTGGTGTTCCAGGATCTGTTTCATCGTCCACACTAACAAAATTTCTCAACTGATGTGTTCCAGGAGCAGTCTCTTCGTCCTCACATCGTTGTCCAGTTTTAAACTTTCTCTTGGCGGTATCTGTCACTGGTTCTGATTCCATAACTCCCAACACGTTCACTGTTCGTACTCCTTCTTGAGTCCCAGGAAATTCTCCTTCGTGTGCGCTACAGTTTCCATCAGTTCTCTCCAGTTCAACCTCTTTTGTTGGTCTCTGTAGCTGTCCAACTTCTGCTGTTTGGCCCTGTGTTCTCGTTACTAACTTTTCTAACCAGTTTTCACCACAAAACTCTGTAATCCAAGAGCGTCCAAACAGTGCTGGAAAGTGATTATCCACCACATACAGTTCCAACCCTTTCACAATCTGGTTGTTTATCGCCACTTCCACAACTGCTTTACCGCATACCTGCTGGTATTGACCATTCGCCACACGCAGTTGCCTATCACTACTTCTCAACTTAAACTCCACACCAGCTTTCTTCAGCATCTCTCTACTGCACACAGATACACTTGATCCACTGTCAAACTCCATCAGACACTCTCGGCGATTGATCCAAACCTTGATCAGGGGTCTAGAATCACGCAAAAAGTTCACGTTATCGAAGTAAACAGTGTTATCATGCAAAAACCTGTTATCATGCAAAATAATGTTATTGTCATGCAAATCAACATGCGAATCATCATGCAAATTACTACCATACAGAACACTATTATCATCATCCTGAATTTTAGAATCATCAATACTTGTCAGGTTGTTGCCCAAATTTGAAGATTTTTGAAACAAAACATTTAACTGGTCATCTAAACTTACGGATTTCTCCGACAATTCACAATAGTAAATATTTCGACTCACAAACTGTTCTGTGTCCTGGTTTGAATCGCTGTTTGAATCGCTGTTGTTGCAGTCTGTTGATACATGATGTGTAGATTTACCACTCTGTTTCCAGGACTTGCGTTTCGTCTTCTTACGGCAGTCCTTAGCAGTATGATACAATTCACCACAGTTGAAACATTTAGTATAGCAGTCCTTGGTTGCATGCGATTTGAGTTTGCATTTATTGCATCTTGTCTCCTGATTGGAACTTCCCTGTGAAGATTTCCCTTGAGACTTCTTGCTGATCTGTACCTTATGTACAGTTTGCTGGGAGTTTTTAATCATTGCAGCCTCTGATTTAGATCTGTCCATTGCCACCACTTTTCTATACGCTCTCTCTAGTGTCAGTTGTTCGAAATCCTCCTCCAATAGCAACTCCTGTGCTTCTGAGTTAACAATTCCCATTATAAATTGATCTAACATTGAACTGCCGAAGTCTGTAAACTTGCATTTGACTGCCAGTTTTTTTAACCTCGCAACAAAGTCTGCTGTTTTCTCCGACTGCTTTTGGTGGCATTTGTAGAATCTGAATCGCTCTGCCAAAACAGTCGGTTTCGGGACCATGTGATTTATGAGAATTGTCTTCATCTCGAAATATGTAAGTTCGTTGACGTCATTTGGAGATGCTAAAGACGTAAGTAGGGAAAAGATTTCTGGATCAATGCTCGTTAAGAAGTGAGGTTTGATCGTTTGACATAGCTGATTATATTCCGCTAACAGTTGTGCATGCGCGGTTTGTTGCGCTTCATTCGGATTCTCTACTAACGGTTCCGGTTCAACCGGATAGGATTTTTGGGACTTGAGAAACCATGTGTACTGCTCGAACCAGTCTTCCGGCGCGCTGACTGTAGCGGTCAGAGGATAGGGGTAGGATTTTGTCATACTCGTCGCCAATGTTATGGACCAATGAAATAGACTGTCTTGCTAGACCTCTAAATAGAGTCTGAAATAGATTGATTAGTAATAAGAAATATACATCGTCATATTATAATCAATAATACATTACAATCACCAATTAGTGCCGTATAATTAATGATGTTATCCATCCAGTTGTTTGACATGTGCCCGGATGAAGGATATGAAAACCCTGCTCAATATATTTAAGAGATATGTGGACTGGTCACGTTTCCAGAATCCAGTTGAAATCCTCCAAGTCAAGAGCCCTGGTTATGAAGAGGGGGGTAGTAGTAGAATGGTATGAAGAGAACAGTGGAAGTGGAGGCGTCGAAGAAAGTCTGAGTCTAGGGGGAGAGGTGATTCCAAACGTAGCGGAAAAGCCAATCAAGTTCCTGGGTCGGTGGATTAGAGCAACAGTTTTCTGAGGACGTGGCAGGGTGTATGCCATACACTGAGTAACATCTGCTTATTTAGTCAAACATCTAGTGTGGCCTTGCCCATCGGCAGCCTGTCCGATACTTGGAAGCTGGAGAAATGTCGACTCCATCAGTCCTACCAGCAGTTTTTTGATGACATGATAAGGGCGATTCAACCGCAAGTCAGGTCAGGGAGAGTTTGGAGACCAGACAAGGAACTAGATTGTGCTGAGAGGGACTTAGTCTGTGAAGCGGTGAGAGGAATGGTCCAGCCGTACAGCAGGGCAAGGATTGGTTTTGGAGAATGGAAGAAACCGTGGAAGAAGATGAACGCCCGGGAACAACAAGCTGAGGTCCTTCAGAGAGTTAAAAGAAACCTCGAACATGAAAGGGAAGTTCAATGCGGCTCTCTTGAGATGCAGTCAAGATGGGGACAGTGGAGGGAAGAGGTTATGAAGACGGACATGAGCTGGCACACACTCTTTAAGTATGGTGATTCGCTCACAGGTTTTATGCTCAGTGCGACTTATGGTACTGTGGTCACACCAAATTGATTTTTTTAAATAATCCAAATACAGGCAGCGATTTAGTCAACTTAAGTTTGTCATTTATGTAATTGAACATTAAAAATGTATCCTTCATAGAATTTTGTATTATCTCGAGGGTATAAAATTGTCAATTGAGAAACACGTCATAAATCTAAACAAATAAGTTCATTAAAATAGCTATCAATCAGTAAATGAACGAACCTGTACATCTAGATGATGTAGGTCCACCACTTGTAACTTGTCAGACCGGTTGTTGTACAGCTTCCTGTTCAGCCTGAAAACACATTTCTGTTACCATGACAACGTTACCATTACAAGTTACCCGTGATGGGGAGTGTCATGAGGTTACGTGACTGATAAAGTTAATACACCTCCTCCCCACTAATAGTGCACTAACCTGGAAATGAGGGAGTAGACTCCAAAAAGTGAGGACCAGCGTCATGTCAGTAACTTTAAAAAAAGCCCGGGCCTATTTTAGATCCTGAAATTAGTGCCAGGAGTCTGTTTTGTGGATTATATTGTTGGCTTTAAAGGGATTTAAAAAGTGTAAACAGTAGGGTATTTATAAAACACATAATTACTGAACACGTGTCGAGATTAACTTAAAACGTGAAAAATCAATAATCAAGTAATCACACGTTTCCTTGCCCCTTCCCTTGTCTGAAAAGTGAAAACTATCCCCTCCCCTTTCACCGAACGTGTGTCTAATCACGAGCAATTTAAATCAAACACGTAAAAACAAGTAACACATAAATGCGAGTACAGTGGCAGTCAACTACATGAATGGTAGTCAACTGATAGTGCGGAGAAACACGGCACACACGTTAGGCCAGGAATGTTCCGCGCCATATAAGGAATAATTCACTGGGTGTACAAATAAACAATGTGGTTGGGCCGTGAACTGGTGGTATTTTTTACACAACTTGTTTTAGTGGGCTTGTCAAGTCCTGTGCTCGATTATAGTAGTATAGAAGTGAGGCGGAACACCATAGTATGAAGACACAGGCACTTTTAGAGTCCATTTTAATATCACTTTTCACGCTCAGTGCTTCAGACTTTAAAGTAAAACTGGCACTTTCCATTTTAACTTCGGCTAATTGATCCCTTACCAATATAAGATAAGTTGTAAATGTAAGTATGAATTGTGGGTCAAATAAGACAGTAGTTTTTATGTTCTTATGTGACTTTTTAATCTATAATTCCCGGCCAAAAACTCAAAATTGGCCGGGGCCGGGAATAAACACCTCCCCCGGCGCCGGGAATCCCGGTCGTTCAGTGCATTACAGCACAGTAAACAGAGCCAAAGTTGTTACTTGTCAAATGCTAAAATAGAATCTCTAGAATACAAATAAATTCATTCGATCAACATCGAAAATGACGTCACAACGACGGTAATGTCAATGACGTCACGAAGCTCACTTGAAGTTTTTGCTGCTGTCTGAGTTTATCAGCTTGTTCACCAGTCTCTGTACTTCTTCAGCGTGCTGATTCAACAGCTCCTGCGGGAGATGCTTGGTCTTTCAGCGCTTTTAGCTTCTCCTGAAATAATCGAGAGGTAATATTGTCTTCTTTCTCTAATAACAAACAAAATAATAAACAAACAAATAAGCAAAGTTTTGTCTGCTTTCAAGCTCAAAAGTAATAGTAACACTAACACGACTCACGAGCCCTTTAAAGCTTGTAATAATGTATACATTATTATTAAGGCGTGACTGTGTTTTCTATGGACAAAATTATTTCAACCTAATTTCTGCATGACAATGTCAAATGTTTAACCTAATTTCTACATGACTATGATCCAGCTATCAGGAAAATTTAAACATCTAATAATTTAAAATTATATCATTAGAACTAGAAGTTCATTTAAAAGTATCGAAATCTTAGTTCTATTTTTACAGTCACTTTTTTAACTATTGAGTTCAATGATTGCTAACTTTGATTTACTCTTTAACTAAAATTTGCTGAAATTAAAAAGTTTTATGATAAAAAGGTACACAAAATCAAAAACTTAGTCGATTAAACTCGTTTCTAGTCTGCGTCCAAACTTACTTATTATTATTAGAGTTAAACGTTAGAATTTATAAATAATAGTAAAACAGGATTTAATATCTCCCAAAGGATCAACCTCGTGAACTGTAACTTCGATTTAATAAAAGGCTCGAATAAAAGCAAAGAGGTTACTAAGCACTTACCTATTACCCCCATGACATAAGGTTAAAATTCTCCCCTAACGAGATATTGGCGAAAAACTGTCTCGATCACGTGATATGACCGTATAAGGAAGTTAGCCTAATTTCTCTATAGTGTTTCAGTATATGCTTTTGTAAAGGATTTGGTTAGGGTTAGGCCGTTAGGGTTGGGATCTGATTAGAGGGTTATGGTTTCCGGGTTTCGAATAGTTGTTTAGGGCCATCTACAGAACGGGTTGAAGAAGTCACGTGACAGGCGATTGTAGAGTGATTAATCATCATCCACCATAACTGCCATCGTAAACAGTTAATTAATTAGGTGTCAACAATCAAGCACAATATATAATACAGCAGGGCTGATTACTGCTGACACATTATAAAGCAACTAAGAGCAGAAATATGGATGATGGAATAACGCGAGGCAACAGTGAACTGGGCGCAATTAAGGCGCGAACAGCGAACGCACGAGGTGTAAAGCTCAGAGTGCTCCTTCATCAATTATGTTCACTCTTAGACGGATTTGACACGCGAAATTGCGCGGCAATTATGCGCGGCGCGTAAAACTTTTGTAAACCTTTCGGACAAGGGTTAAATTATTTTTCTACTGTCAACACAGCCCAAGTTATACATGTTTTAATATCAAAAAATGTCCAATTTTTTTGTATCATTTTTAAATAATTTCTTTTTCAAATCGCCGCCACATCAAAATTATTTTATGAAAGTACATTAAATTTTCACAGAAAGTAAGCTTAATCGTTTTAGAACTATATTAAAAAAGAATTTAATATAAAAATGTTAAAACTTTAAAATTATCAATTGAACAAATTGCCAACGTCCAAATATGTGTAAAATACGACTAAGAGGGGTCACGACACTGCGCGCAGCAGTGTTTTTAAAAAAAATTTTACCGGCTGGCTTGCTAGAAATTCCTTTAACATCCTGTTTGAGCTCGCACACGACATTGACTAGTGATTACATTGGTTGTGAGCGTCTGACGCATTTCATTGTTCAAGCTGCAGGTGACACAATTCAGCCAATCAGATGACAGGAATACCCAAAGTTAAAGTTGTAAACTTTTATTTTACTGGGCGTAGCTCAGCCCATGTCATTCCGCCTAATCTCTATTTTATGATTATGAACATAAATATAATAGCCTGTGGTCTCCAGGTAACTTTTACTTGGCCCGAAATAAGACTATTAAGGAAAACTTGAAACCTAACTTTTCCCAAATTGACGGATTTTACTCGTCTAAATTTTTTCGAAGTAGCGCGCGCCGCTTTCTTCCCGATGGCTAATGCTACGAAGTAGCGCGCGCCGGCCCAAACTATTACTAATGGTCAATGCTCAAATTGTGCTCCCGGGGAGCTTATAACTTTTATTTGTTATAGTTTCATGTTGTAGCGCGATGCACTACTGGCTCGCGCGCGCGCATCCAATAATGCTTCTCGCAACCACTTATGCAGATCGGCGAGATGCGAAGAATTGACATCGTGAATCAAAGTTCCATGCCACGAGAAAAATGTTTTGGTGAAAACTCAACCGGAGGTTAATTAAATATTTATTTTACAACATTGCCAATTAATTGCATCTTTAAACAATTATATTAATTAACGCACTTCATTCCGATTTGGCTTTGTAGCTCACTTGCAATGCATTATTCAATTATATGTTATAATTTTTTGTTGTAGGTTTACAACCTACAAGGACGCGCGCCGAGTTGGACTCGTCGACGGTCCTCGTCGACGGTCCAATATATGGAACGAGTATCACCCGTTAGATTTTTTGTAACAGCGAGATCGAGAGCATTAGTTACTATTTACCATTTGTTGCCCAATGCAACTTAATATTACATTGTGTTATATAACGCATGATCTAGCTAAAATTTTTCGAAGAATCGCAGTAAGTTAGGGTTGCTATTAAGATTAATACGAACAACTTTACATTTGGCAGGATTAAACTTTAAGAGCCAAATACTCTCCCAGACCTCCAGTTCTACAATATCTTCAGCAACACTGCTGTGGTTAGCTGCATTACCAATCAACTTGAGGTCATCTGCAAATAATTTAATCTTATTCTTGACTATATCAGGTAAATCATTAATATAAAGAATGAATATGCTAGAGTCACTCGTCCTATAAGGGCACTATGGCTGACCTACTCAAGCAGAAACCTACTCAAGCAGAAACACGGATACTAAGGTTATGTCTCTCCTACATGGCCATGACATCACCTTTGCAGCCTTCCAGGCAAGGGTAGCCAACAACTGCGACCCTCAGTGTCCAAATTGTAAGGTATTGGACACCAATTATCACAGACTCTTCTACTGTCCACTGTGCAGCTGCTCTTACAGGGAAACCCTGCAGGAGCATTCCTTTAATGACCAACCATCATGGTCTATCTTAAGAGATGATAGTGATAACAGCATCACTGCCTTCCGCTCTCTAGCACAAATTACATTTTTCACACAATTTCAATTTTAGCAATGGCCAATTGGCTTTCATGTGATGCATTACGCAGAGCACAGATAAAAATACTGATTCAATGATTAAAATTATAGCTGTGAGTGTCAATAAATTACTGTGTCATAGAAAAGGAACGATGTACACGTGATCTGAGATACCAATATCTCAATATCAAAAGAATATGATTTCTAAATGTATTGTAAATGACTTTCATTTTTGGAATGTTTCGAAAGAAGTTTTAACAAGAATTGAAGGTACCAGTTATATCAGTAATAAGGAAAAACACAATGATCATCTGTGGTTCCATCCTTATGTAGCAAAGAAACGTTTTATAAATCTTTACTCCACTGGGAAGTATGAATAAATTAAATTTTGTAATGTTGTTTTTATTCATGATTAATATTTGATAAATTATTAAATTTGATGGAGAAATAGTTATTTTTCCATGTAGTGTGATGATACTTTGTAGACGTTAGTGATGATGTTATGTCATAATTTTTACTTTACTTTACTTTACTTTAAAGGATAGTGTCTAGAAACATTCATAGTCCATGGTGGCAGGTATCAAGTTAAACGAAGTTACACTGACTGGCAATGTATAGTAAAACAAAATTTTAGTAAAACAAAATTTAAATTTTATTGCCATTACAATGAATAATGATATCATAATAAATATAAGTAGACATCCGATAATAAACTTGTTACATCCAGTACAACCCAAGATGTCAGCCGACGCGACTTACAAAATAAAGAAAGCTAGCATGTTAGGTTCATTGTTCATAGTTTTTCTAACGAGCATGCTTAGCACTTAGGCTGTACGGAAATAGCTTTAATTCTTCGTCATATTAAAAACTTTACATCATTTTTGAGATACAAAAATAAATTTTAAAATAAATAACTCTTTTGCTGTTTAGGCGCGGCACCGCGCTTGACCCACATGCTATACAGTGTGTAGCAACACAGCGCTGAAAACAGAAGCTGAATGCGATTGCCGTCTCCCTCTCTCACCCCTGACCGCTATCAGGGTACTCCTGAGGATTGAGAATCTAATCCTGGTGCGCATATAACACATAATAGCCGCATAGTCTTCTCCTCTCTTCTGGGATAGTTTTTCAGCGAGTCTCTTGTGGCTTGTGGACCCCATCCGCCATTTGTTGAGTATATAAGTGGGGTAAAGGTGCCTTTTTCCACCTGGATGATTCTGTTGTTGTACTTTTTCATTTTCCTCATTTCATGAGCTTTATAGATCTGTTCCATATCTTTTTCGTCATATGTGGGTGAGTTGGGGTGGGTTACACAGACATCAAAGAATGTTCGTTCAAATGTGCTCCAGAGACCTCGTGAGGATACATCAGGTGCAGCTCTATCAGCATTGGTACCAACAATTTCTTCATTATCAAGGGGTATCAATGCTGGCTCAGTCAATACATCTCTGCATACTTCACGCTGCAGCTCTGCATTTAGATCGCGGATGTTGTTGTGTCTCATAGAAACATAGCCACCTTTCTTGCATATAAGTGTGTGATTTCACGCACAGTGAAATGGGGTGTTAGACATCTCCCAACCATAACGCAAGTACAGAGCATCACGGAACTCAATCTTGTTCAGGGAGTAGCCAAATCTCTTCAATGGAAGTGCAGTAAGCCAACATCCTGAACCTTTCTCTTTGATGAACTGGAGAGATCTCTTTAGGTTGGGATCTCTTACACTGTCCTCTATTGATTTGCTAACCGTAAATAAGTGTTTCTCCTTGATTGCCTTGAGACTTTTTATAGTGTCATTTTGAATTGACATGTTGTAATGTTCAAGGGTATTTTGCTGGTTGATAATCAGGTCTGTGAGGTCTTTTGTGATGG